ATCGATGCGGGCCGTGCCTGGGCTGTTCGTCAGGACCACAGCGATGTGAGGGTCACCGAGTCGCAGCATGTTTGCTGTGACGCTGTTGCATGGCACCTGCACACACACACGCAGCGCCTGCATCCTCCCTTTTGTGTCCACCCTCCGCCGGAGTGGCCACACACACGGGCAGCAGCAAATTCATTTCACCCTCGACAATCCAAAATCAACACCGACATCCCTCGCGACGCAAAGATCTCAGTTGCCAGCACGGGCTTCCTGTCGCTCTGCCATCGACGCTAAAACACGGCACAGTGCACGCACTCATTTTCCTCGTGTTCCGTCAGCCGTTTGCTTCACACATTCTCCAACGGGATGGCGACCATAAAAGCACGCCACAAAAGGCCACTGTGATCGCACAGGCTCTTGCGATGAGCGTCTGCGTGTGCATGGATCCGCTGCTCACACGTGCTGGCAGGCAGCCCGCAGCCGGTGCCCTCGTGCCAGTTCATCGGCTCCAGCATGGGAAAGAGAAAACGGTCTATTCCCGATGTACTTATTCCCACCAGCAGCACCAACACGCTGGTCGCCAGCCGTCATTCCTCAGCAAATCCAGAAATGCTGAAGAGTGGCGTGGAACTGTCAGCCAACAATGCCACAATCCCCGCACACATGTCGGCTCCACCAGAGAAGAGACACAAACTACAAACAACACCCTCACATGTTTTCCGAACATCATTCCGACACACCGCGACACGCCAAACAGAAGTATTCGTCACTCCAAGCACCTCCCCACACAATCAAATAGTCCACGCACCATGCACGGCAGCAGCTCACACCCGTCTAAACAAGTGCTCTTCGGAGCGGTGTTACCCACGTCCTGCAGTGGGAAGTAAACAAACGAGACGGGCTGCCAAACCCCAAAGGAGTGCAACGACTGGCCGCAATTCAACGGAGCGCTGCCACTCAAAACAATTCAGTCCTCATGCCCTCAGCCTCCCACCTTCTCCCACAATAGCCCCAAGAGCTGCAAATCAAACGCGCAACGCCCCTTCCCCAGCAGCCGCTAACGGAGCGCAAGCCCCGCTGCACACACCGCGACGATTCCCCTCATCGTGCCGACGGTCCGCAGCGCCAGCTCAGCGCCACACTCCACCGCCCCGCCGTCCCACGAAGACGTCTTTCCTCCAACAAAATAAAACACCAGCGGGTATTCGCCTGGGCCGCCGGCCGGACCCTCAACTTGTCTAAAGAAACCAAGAAAACAGAAGGAAGGGGCGAACGGAGGGGCAGTGGGTTCGCAATCTACTCAGTGCTTGCTCCAACCACATATATGCATTTATATATATTCGGACTGCCACTCTCGTGACATGCTGCGCGTTGTTGGGGTTAAAAATACTATGACTTACGAAGTGGCAGACTTCGGAGTCCTCCAGCCACAACACACCGCCGCATGGTGGGAAATCAAAAAAAAGGGGGCTGCTGGGACGGCAAAAACATAAATAAGTCAATAATTTCTTCTCACCGCCATCGGCACCCTAATTACTTCCATCGAGGCCATCCAATCGACCACAAGACAGAGAAAAAATACCGCACAGAAATGTCTTCGTTTTATCAGAATATATATTAATTTAGGCAGCCAGCCCTCGTCGCAAGCATCCTGGTCACAAGCACCTATTCTTCGGCTCGTCCACACACTTCATTTACCGTCCATCCCACAACACACACAATAGGAGAAGCAAAGGATCATTACGCAAAGCCAAGGCAAATAAATAAATAATAATGGGAAATCAAAACCCACACGGAGCCCTCGCACACGCACACAAACGCCCCCACGGCATCCCTCAGAAGCCAAAAGGCGGTCGCGGGAGGGCCGCCAAAAGCCTCGCACCCGCGGTTCCCCGGCGGTCCGATTTTGATTTCCTACCGCGCGCCGGCGGGCGTCTTCCGTGCCTTTTTTTTTTTGGCTGCCGCGGCGGCGGAGGGGCGGGTTTTCGTGTGATCCCTTTGGGGCCCGAGTCCTGTAAAGGGGTTTGTCTGAACCGGCCCCCGTTCCACTACGAGAATTTTGTTTGGGTGAAGGAATTGTTTTTCGGATCTTTTTTTTTGCTCCCGGCAGTTCTTTTTCGTTTTTTTTTTAACACTAACACGCGCATCCCTGGCGTTTTCCATTATCATCGAAGATTTTTAGGCTTAGAGTCTATTTATTTACCTTCGTCGTGAAACGGAACATGTCCACTTTACGAGTTTCTCTTTGTCAGATGGCCGTGGAGAAATCCAAAGAGGCTAATCTATCGAAAGCTGTGGGAATGATTGCGGCAGCGGCAAATAGAGGTGCAAATCTTGCCGTTCTCCCAGAATGCTTCATGTGCCCCTATGGCACCAAATATTTTGATGAATACGCTGAAGAAATAAGACCGGGTTGCCCCACTTACGATTCCATTTCTAAGGTTGCTAAAGAAAACAATATATGGGTGGTAGCCGGCAGCATGCCAGAACGCTCAGATGGAAAGTTGTACAATTCCTCCATGGTTTTTGATTCGGCGGGTAACTTGCAGCATGTTCATAGAAAAATTCATTTGTTCCGAATCAATTCAGAAACTGTGCAAATGGACGAAAGGGAGGTTCTTTCTCCTGGAAGTACGGCTTTTCCTGTTTCAATGAACGAAAAAATCAAATTTGGTCTGGGTATTTGCTTTGATATGCGGTATCCACAGCTTGCATGGAAGTATGCCCAAGCAGGGACGTCATTTTTGGTTTATCCAGGTGCGTTCAATATGTTTACAGGTCCAATACACTGGGAACTTTCAGCCAGAGCACGTGCTATGGATAATCAACAGTATGTTCTTTTGTGTTCTCCTGCGCGTGATTCCAACGCAGAATATGTCGCTTGGGGTCATTCGATGGTTGCAGATCCTTTGGGTAGGGTGATTGCTACTGCAGAAGAAGGTGAGGCTTACGTTGATGCAGAGCTGGATTTTGGTTTGATCAAAGAAGCAAGAAAAAAGATTCCGATTATGGATGGGATGCGAAATGATATTTATTCCTTGCAGTGGCAATAGTGATTAAATGGAAATATTTGTTGGGCTGGGGTGTCAGGATTTTTTCAAATGGCTCTGCTTAATATTTGTTGTTGTTTTTTTTTTTGATTCCTAGGAAGGGCGGCTCAGTATTTTGGACTACATTTTCTTTTTTCTTTTTCTTTTGTTGTGAGTGTGGGTGGATGAGATCTTTGAGTTAGGGTGTGGTTTTATTCCTCATCGGGTTTAATTTTTGGATATGCGTATCTGCATTGTAGGATTTTCTAATGAATATATATATATCTGTTGATGCGGATAAATAAAAATGTGTTAATAATGAAAATTATTGTTTATTTTATTTTATTTTTCTAAATGGCTCTTGGCGTTATGCTTCTTATTATTATAGTAATTAGGAATGTTCCGTAGGTTATGCTCAATGGTTACCATTGGGCACGTATTGCCCATTGGTCTGCGGCAGTGTCATATAAATACTGTTGAGGGGGTTGATACTTTAAATGATAAGTCACGGGTGAATTTTGGAGTTTGTGAAGCTGAAATTGTGAGTGAAACAAGAATTTCCCAGGAGAAAGGTCCAGATTCTATAGGTGAAATTAAAAGCCAGGACGTAAATTCAGTTTTGGAGAATGAACACTTTTTTCTGGAGATGAATCGATTACAGTATTCTTTTTCGCAGGAAGGACCTTATATTGGCTCGCGGAAAAAAGACACAATGGAAAATTCCGTGGATAACCGTAGTCGTCGACATATTGTCCGAGTACCTCAACCAGAGTCCGAATATCGTCCAAACGAAACATCGTTTCGAAGGTTACCCAAAAATACACGTATCCCCAATGAATATGAACTTCGTGCCTTATATCCACAGAGCACAGGTCTCACCCTAATTGAGGGAAAAGCCGATTGTGTCGATCATAGTGCATTTGATCCAGATGAAGATCCGGCTCCAATGGCCTACAGTATGGTTACACCTTCAGATTGGTCAAAAGAAAAAGAATATCCATATATGGTTGTGCTTCCTGATCATCGGGGCATTCCAAGAGATTTTGAAGATGTATGTGCGAATTTTTTTGAACGCCCTATGCATCGTCAATTGATGCTTGAACAAAATTGGGTAATTATTTCTCCAACTATAAATCTTCGTCATAACTTCCAGGTTCCTGTTGAGGCTGTAGTGGCACGTTTTTGTGACTGGGTCACAGAGAATTTCAATGTTGAACATCGAAGAGTCCATTTGTTTGGAAAGGGGAATGGGGCTTACGTGGCTCTTCGGACTGTTATGGAACAAAAAGAGGTAGCGATTAGTGTGACGGCTATATTAGGCCGATCAGGAACACCGTTTCGTCCTTTGGATCGTCCCCAAGATAAGGTGAGGAATTTCAATGGGGTTCATTCTTTGGTTTTTGTTCCAGGTCTTTTAAGAAAGCAAGATTGGTACTACAAATTTAAGTTTATGATGGATATGGCGCGCATTCGACCAGCTCTGAGAAATATACACTTTGCAGATGTTCGGGATCACCAGGTTTATTATGCCATTAATCCCTATGAATTCTGGAATCACATGAAATACTTTCGTCAACACAGCATCAAAATGGTGACTGAGGGTGGTTATTGCGTCCATTGACTTACTTCTTCTTTTTTTTTTTTCTTTTAATTTGTCGTTGTACTTTGCTTTTTTCTTTTCTTGCTTTCTTTTTTGTTTTGCTTTTTTTTTTCCGGATCATATTTTAAATCTGTTTTCCTTTCGGTGCTAAGACTAGCATCGGCGGCAATGGGCAACAGACACACACAAAACGCTAACAAGGTTTTTGCTTTTTGATGTCACATTTACAATTATAACTTTGGGTCATCGTTGTGTGCCGTGCCATTTGTGCCTTTTCTTTTTTTGTTTGCCTACACTGTTTCACGGTGTTTTTTTTTCCTTTTATTCACTTCTTTTATTGACAACGATGTAGGACCTTGTGTCAACAATATCTTGTTGTATTTATGACCTTTAGTGAGAGGGACGCGATACTCAATGATGATGAGGAGTGGGTGAATATTCCAACGGTGTTGCGCAGTTTTCTTCGTCAGATAAACAACGAATTGCAGAATAATCGTCTTACCTGTGATGCGTTTCTTGACGACCAGAAGGAACATGATCGTCTGCTAAAAGGGATTTTGTCAAAGCAACTGGAACGAGAATTGGAAATGAAAAAATCTGAACTGACCATGCAACAGGAGTGTCAAGAGGTTCAAGCATCTTTTTCCGAAGTGCTGGGGACTATTCGCGAACAAATGCGTCATTTAAATGAAGAACAACAACAAATAAGGGATCGTATTCGACAAATTGAGAACAGAGTAAATGACACAATTGCGATGCATGATGAGGTACGCGCAGAGTCAAGCGCCCTGTCTAAAAAAATTAACCAACGTTCTATGGAGTTGGAAAGAGAAATAAACAACAAATTTAGGGAGTTATTAGGCTCTGTCGAAGAGTTGAAAACGAATGTTCGGTTAGTATCCGAGAGGCAGGATGCTGGAGTGAGAGAAACCAAAAAGGAGTTGGAAGGTTCCAATGTGGCGTGGCGGCAACTTGGTGATGCAGTATCTGTGGAAATGGATAACCTTAGAATTCACTTTCAACAGCATGAAGATGCGTTGGGGGAACTCAAATCATTCAAAACTGAAACGGAACGTGAAATTAAAAAACGCGTAAAGGCATACACACATTTGCATGAAAAGATTTGTAACAGTCTGGGGATGGTGAAACAGCTGGAAATATCCTCAGAGGATCGCTTTGAGACTGTATTTAGCGCGTTGGAGAAGTCGCAGGCCTTGACGGAGAAACTTTCCCAACTTTATCATAAAAGAGATGAGGATAACAATTCTTTGATGACGGTTCTTAGAAAGGCTCAAGGTACGTACAATGCTTTGACAGGTGATCTTAAGAAGGCAATTGATCTTCGGTTAACCCAACATGGAACCGATTTGGAACAGTTGAATAGACGTATCCGTGATTTATACCCGTCTAAAGACGAGGTAACTGCACTTGTAAATGAAAAGAGCGAGAGAGTCTTGCCATATATCGAGGAAATGCGTCAACGAATAGAGGCCATAGAGTCTGCTATGATAAACAAACCTAATCCGATTATGGATATAGAAAACGCTGTAAATGAACTGATGAAAAACGATCGGCATAATTACGAACGCAAATATGCGGAACTTCATCAATTTATTTCAAATGAAAGAAGTACGCTTCAGAATGAGATTAAAGACATCAAAACAACTGTAGGAATTTTGAATGGCAGATGCGAACAGGCAATGCACGCTGTGAGAAGGGTTGACAACATTGAAGGGGATGTACAGAGACTGGGTAAACAGGTAAACGATTACAATGAATCCTTGAAATGTGTGCGCAACGATATGGATGCCTTTACGACTGCCTCGAATACAATTCAGGAGAGATCAGGCATGATATTTAATAAAAATAATAAAAATGATCCCCATAGCATGATATGCCGAGAGCGTGATGTGAAAAAATGTGTAACGGAGGTGGAGTTTCTTGAATTGAAGGCTTCTGTTGAGCGAGAAGAAGAAAATTTGGGTCGTTATGCCGCCCAGCTTAATGAGATACAGCAACGCACCTCAAGGTTTGAGAACCTTGTAAAGGAGGTTCCTCGAACTTATCAGCGTTACATGGAGGCTTTGGATAAAAAGTTATCTCCGGCGTTGCTTGAATTGGATGTGTTGCAAAGGCGTATTGCTGCTTTGGAGCTCAGGCATGCAGCAGATGAGCCGCATGAAGTCAAGCGTCATTCATCGCCTACTCGTCATGAAGAAAGTGAGCTTGAAAGTCTGCGACTCAATATTCAGCAGAATCAAGCTTTACAATTTGCTCAGCGAAAAATTCAAGAAGTGGATGTGCGATTAGATGGTCTTCAGGTTTTATGCAACCGCCTGGAGAGAAGAGTGGAAACTTTGTCAAGGGAAGTTGCGGATGTCTCTGAAAAAAGTTCCTCTATTCAAGAGGAACAGCACCTGAAAAAAGTTTTTGAAGATGAAATGAAAAGAGTTTTTGGACAATTAAGTGAGCTGAAAAAAGAGATGCGGTCCTGTGAAAAGGGTGTGAAATCAAGGGAAAGGTCTCTCCTTGTCCTGAAATCCGATATGCAATCAATAAAGACCTCTTTTGAAAGTGTTTCGGATTTAATAGTAACAATGGAGAAGACTCTGGGGTCTTGTATCACTGTCACGTCGGATGAATGGAAGAAAGTTTATGAGGCTGTATCCACATTTTCAGGGTACAAACTGGATGATGTGCTACGGAGACTGCAGAAGGAGTCTGAAGCCTTTGTCTCCGTGGAGAGGTTTCGCCTTGTTGAGGAGGCATTGGCTGAGATAAGCAGCGAACAAATGGAGTTCAAACGATATCTGGAGCAATTCCAGGAATCCGGTTTGGAGAAGGTGCATATGAATATTCTTCCACAGAGTGGCGATGACCTGAATCAACCACGTTTTACGCTCGAGGAGCGTGTGATTCTATTGGAGGAGTCTGCACGCAAAAATTTGACACAAATGACATCAAATACAAATGACGTTATTCTCTCCTTTGACAGTCGTGTAAAGTCTCTTGAGGTGGCTGTGGGTGAAATACGGGCGAAAGAACCACTTCCCCCAACACCGTCAGAACAACTACCCTCTTCTTTGTCGTTATTAACGATGAATGATGTCCCGCTTCAGATGGCTGCAATGGGCGAACGCGTAACCAAACTAGAGAGTTGGATTACCACCATGCATAAAACGGAAAAGGATGCCGTGGTGGGAGCGGAGGGTTTTTTGCACGGGGATCGCCTGGCAAGCTTGGAGAGTTCGATGGTGACATGCAAACGTGAAGTGGAGGAGAATTCAAGACTTGTTGCCGTTTGCCAGAGGCGTATTGATGAATGGGCGGAGCGCCTAACAGGGGATGATTCGGCGAGAAAAACAACAACTGCAGCGGTTATTAAAAGTGGTGATTTTCTGGCGGGTGTGATGGAGAGACTTCAACGAGTGGAGTCCAAGACGGAGCAAATAGAACAAAGTGTGATTGCTGAACAGAAGAAAGATACTGAGATGAAAACAAAAAGATACGTGGAGGCCCGATTCAAAACTTTATGGGAGTCTATTCTGCGTTCCATCGCACCCAAAGTGGACCGCAAGGAGGTGAATGAAAATCTGACGGAATTGCAGCGTTGGGCAAAGGATTATGTCGAAGTTCAATTGAATGCATCTACGCGTGAGTTGAAGTCCGCCATTGAAGAGTGTGTGAGTATCACGGAGGTGCGGGAGTTGGTTTTAGGCGCACGAGGGAGTGCTGCATAGAGCAGAGATGGGCTGCTACGACGGAGAAGGATAGAGGGATGCGGAGTGGAGCTACCGATAGTTGAGTAAGTTACCGGTGCTGACGAGGAGACAAGGAGAGAGAAAAGGAGAAATACACACCAAAGAACAAACACATAAAGTAGACCGAATGGTGCCAGGGAAAAGAAGTCGAAGAACGGAACAGAAAAAAAAAAAAAAAAGTTGTGTATTTCGTAAAGCCTTTCCAATTGATTTAGCTGCGAATTGATTAATATAAATACACAACTGTTATTTTTTATTTTTTATTTTTTTTGATTGGTATTTTTTTATTTTACATATAATATGTAATATGTCTCTGTGTATGTGAATGGAAAAAAAAGGAACAAAAAAGGGGGAAACAAAAAACAATCTACATAAATGCACGGATTAGTACCATTATTATTGCTATTGTTATTATCATTGTTCTTCTTCTTTTTTCTTGTGGTGTTGGCGACCGCGACCATTATTATTATTAACACTACTACTACTACCAATAATAATAATAATAACAATAATAATAAGGCCATTATTGGTAATATATAATCCTGTGAATTGCGTTTTTTTGTTTGTTTTTTGTGCAGAGGCGTTATGTTTGGCAGGCGCGTCTTCGGCAGTTCCACCATACCACGTGCCATGTACGCCACGCTGCACATCAATTCATCATTGCAGGCACGTCGTATGCTGCCCAGTCTTGTGCCGCTAACGTCTAGCGTTGCAGGCACCTCAAGGTCGGTGATACCGATGGTGCAGTGTACGTCACCATCCATGCCTGTGCTGGAAGCGGCCGAACTTGATCCTGTACTACTGGGTGACTTTTTGAGGTCTATTTTCCCCGCGAAAGACGGATTTTTACGATTGTTTGAATTATGGGGTATTGGGCGTATGGTGATGCTTGCATGGATGCGAAGACATATGGCGTGAGGATGTGCGCACGTCCGTGTGCGTGCCGTCCCCATTGAAAACGCGTATCTGGTTGTTTGCCAATGGACTGGGCGGTGCGGCGCCGGGGTACTGACCCACATTCTTTCAGGTCCTGTGGACAAAGGAGGGGGTCAAGGGTTTTGGATTGGGGGAAATGCATGAGGAGGCGGGCGAGGAGAAGAAATGCGTGGCATTCAGGAGCAATAATAACTCTGAAGGAAATGGCAGGGAGGAGTAAAATAAGAGGAGAAATTTGGGGGGAAAAAAAAACGACGAAAAACTTAGCAGCGTGACAGGTGTTTTGTTTTTTGTTTTGTTTTCTTCTTCTTGCCGCGGGCCGGCGTGGCGCGGCAGCGTAAGCGGCACTAGGAGGAAGGGACCCAGACCTGTTTTTCCGGTATTACATGCACACACATAAACAAATAGAGACGGACAGGGAAAAAAAAAAAACGAGAGGGAGAGAGAAAGAGAAATGGGGGGAAATAGGATGAATCACAGCAACCGTTTTTAAGGTGGGAGAGGGATGATTTCTCTTTCCTTATACTGTTTTTCTTGTTGATTTTTGACTAGTGGTTTATTCCTCTTTTTTATTTATTTATTTATTTTTTTCTTATTGTCTTGCACATACGCCATTATCGTATAGAAGGAATGCCCAATCCGTACATTGGAAACGGTGATGCGGCACGTTATGTCGAGTACTACGCTTCTCCTCGTATGCAGAGAGACGCGGTGTATCGCCTCTATAACAAAGGCATTCAACGCCGCCAGGAATCACAGCGCCGCGCGGAGGAGGCGGTGTACCCGTCGCAGCCACGGATATACCGTACGCAGAAGGAAATTGATGATTACGTGAACGCGATGGTGTACTCGGAGGTTTTTCGTCGGCAGAAGAAGTTGGCGGAGTTGGAGTGGGAGTTGTACCACCCAACACCAACGCGTTACCTTACAGACCAGGATATGGCGATGCATGTACAGCACATGTACGACCAGCAGTTGCGTAAAAGAGAACGTCGGGAACGGGAGAAGCAAAGACTTTTTGGCATGACACCAATTCAGAAGAAGGAGGTGCAGGTGCGAGAGAAGTTCCACGAACTTGAGGAGAACTGGCGACCCCCGTCCTTCCACGCAAAGTACAACGATGGGAAGATGCTGCTTGTGTCGGAGTTGGCTGCCATCAACTCCGCCTCTCCACCTTCTGTGACGCAGGCAGGAGAGACACGTGGTTGTCGACACGCTGATCCACAAAGATTGCAGCAGCTCGCACAGCCATTGCGAGTGACACCGAAGTTACACAAGGAGACAGGCAAGGACGCGCTGATGCCACCATTTCGTCTATTTGGTGATGTCATTAGAAAAATTGAGAAGAGGCGATGATCACTGCAGAGCTGAAATCTTTCTTCCGTCCTTATCTTCTCACCATCCAACTAACATAAGGCAGAAGGAAGGAATTTAACAATGGGAACGGTGAGTGTTGCATACATACAAACATATAGAGAGAAAGGGAAAGAGAGAGAGAGAGGGAGGAATGAGCTAGAAGGAAGAATTTTTTTTTTTTTTTTCATGTGTGCATGGGACTCTGGACTGTATTATCATTTTAGTTTCACCCCATGCGTGTGTTTCTTCGTGGAATTGCATCAGGGACTATTTTGCTTGTTTCGGTTTTAGAACATATATATAAAGTACCATGTGGGTGACTTAATTTGTTGTTTCCCGCCTTATCACTTTTTTATTACCCTTTCTTTTTTCTTTTGCTTTCTTTTCTTTTCCTCTTATTTGACGTATTTCTGCACTCATGAATGATGGTGCAGGGGCCCATTGCAGCTGCAACATCACACCGTTCTTTTTTTTTTTTTTTTCTTTCTTTTTTTGTGTATGGGAAACATTTGCGGTGTGAGGAGAGCAGGGAGTTGCCGAGCGGGGTGGGATCCACACGTGCTTTTGTGGCAAACTCCATCGTGCAGCAGCTAAGACAGCGGCAAAAGAGGAGGCAGAGGATTAACTCAGGAAAAAGGCAGAGGGAACGCAAAGAGGGGGCAACAAGCACACACAGAAAATAGAAAACAACAAAAACAACAAGAGGGAGAGACGGTTTATTCTCTCGGTCAGTTAGCTTGGAGGTATTTAAAAGATTTTCTCTTTCTTCACGATGGCGGGTCGCACCATAACGTCGATGTGCACTGTCGAGGATGAGTCTCCGGCACCTTTGTTTGTTGGTCGAGAAGACGGCTCCATTGAACTTTACGGTTCCACCGATGCTGCCTGTTTCGGCAAGCCATCGTTGATACTCTACGGCCACACCAAAGCCGTCACAGCCATGTTTGCCCCATCTACTGACGAGGTTTTTTCGTGCTCAATGGATGGCACACTTCGTCACTGGTCCACAGAGAAGGAACCGGAGGAAATGAAGCACTGCTTAAATGTGTCAAGGGTGGGAACCCCGCTGCGGTGCCTCATGATGCATGAGGGTGTTCTTTATACCGGTGGCAATGATGGATGTCTGTATGCTATTGAAGGGTCGCGGCGGTCCTCCTGGCCAGGGCACAAGGATGTCCTCTCTTGTATTACCGTTGTAGCAGAGGACTCTCAATATGTTATTACTGGCAGCTACGATAATCAGATTCGCGTCTGGGACACAAAGTTGGCCAAAACCATCCGATTACTTGTTGGTCACCAGAACCACGTTAAATGCCTGCGTGTTATTGGGGCAGGGGAATTACTCCTCTCGTTTGGGCGCGATCTCACGATTAAAATATGGAGGCTGCCGGAATTTGGAGATGAGGAAGAGGAGGACGTGGCACCTTCTTCACCCGACAATATCCGCCAAGCGACTGTCTCTTTCAGGGAACCAACGGACACCACGCCAATGCCTGATCGTCCCGCCGCCACAGCAACAGATGGCGGGGAGGAATCAGGAGAGGTGCCCGTGAAAGCATCGTCCAACCCTGAAGTGAGTCCCGGGTCTGCGGATGAATCAGTGAACAAGCACTACCGTGCGGCTGTGCAAGGTGCAACGGCGGTGAAATCTGCTATCAAAACACGTCCTCAGCCACCAATGCGACAGCTGCGGTGTGTGGGCACGATTGAAATTCCAGAGGCGCCTCACGTTGTGGCCGCCACAAGTAACGAAGCGTCTTATTGTCATATTGGCACTTCTGATGGGTATGTGGTAGGTGTGAATGTGCGTGCGCTCTCGCGGTCTGTGCTGCAGTTTCTTTCACGCAATGCGGCCGAGGTGCGGGCGGATACACGTGGAACGCGTCTGACACTTCGTTTGTCGATAAGATCCATTAAGAAACGGTGCAGAAATGCTATTCAAAAAAAACAACTGGAGCTGCTGCGAGCGGCGAAGCATGAACGAGCCAAAAAGAAGGCAGAGGAGCGAAAGGAACGCGCTGCCGCACGTGCGGCCGAACGTGAGGCGAGGGCCGCCAAACGTGCCGAGGAGGAAGACGACGACGAGGAGGAGGAGGAGGATGAGGAGCAGGATATGGAGGAAGAGGAAGAGGAAGAGAACGATGGTGACGAGGAGCAAGAAGAAGAAGAGGACCCTCTCGCTCTATTAGATGATGCGCAGCGTGAGGAGCTTGCGGCCTTCCGAAAGCAACAAGAAAAGGAACGTGATGAAGAGATTGAATCTTTGCGCAAAGCGGCGGAGGAAAGAAATAAAGTGGTTGGCAAAATAGGCTCTGCCACGTACGACACCACTCGCGATCGGTTTTTTTTCCTGAGTTTCACAAGCTACAAGAAGATTGGTAGCGACGCGGTGCTGGGGTTGGTGGCACTGCCAGGTGGGACATGTTGCGCCGCCCAGTCAGACCGCATCAAATCCGCAGACACCACACCTGGCATCACATACTTGTAGAGGGCGCATGCAATTGTATCGCAGATGTATACGCATTTATATGCACGAACGACGCCATGCTTTTGCGCGTGGCGGGAATGCAATGTAAAGAAAACAAAACAGGAACTAAAGACGAAATCTGAAACTTGTATAAATGAGGAAGGCGCGTCTACTCCTTCGTACCGGCTGGGGGTGGGTGGTTGAGTGGAGGAACGAGGGAAAAATGGACTTGGCATGTATGTATTCGACATGTTGTTTTTGATTTAGTTATTTATTATATATATGTACTGTTGAATAATTGTGAGAGGATCGAAGCAGATATCTCGACGACGGGGGTTATTTATTGGTGTGTTTTAGCGGGATTATTGTGGCATATTTATGTGCTGTGGTATTCTTGTAATAGTTATTGTGAATGTTTTCCCTTATTTTTATTTTTATTTGTTCCCCCCTTTTCTGTTATGAAGGTTTTTGCGTGAATTTAAGGCACACGGTCCTCAGCGATGTCGCACCACGTCAAGATCCGCGATCTGCGCGATAAGAGCAAGGATGAGCTGTTGAAGCAGCTCATGGAGTTTAAGAAGGAGCTCTCGCAGCTTCGTGTGGCGCAGCAGCTGAACAGCGCGGGTACCCGCCTTGGACGCATCCGTCTGATTCGCAAGAGCATTGCCCGCATTCTGACGGTGCTGAACCGGAACCAGCGCGAGAGCCTCCGCAAGGTCTACGCAGGCAGGAGGCTGCGCCTGGCAATGCCCAAGGCTCTTCGCCCGAAGTTGACCCGTCGCCGTCGTCTTGCGCTGAAGGACAATGAGAAGAACCGTAAGACTCGCCGTCAGCTTCGTATGGCCCGAAAGTTCCCCAGGCGTGTCTACGCTGTGAAGCTTTAGGCGACATATGCTCATATATGTGTGTTTGTGGGCATGTTGCTTGGCTTTTGTGGGATGGTGCGGGATGCGTGTTATTTTTTTTTTTTGTGTGTGCCACCGCATTACCATTTCTTTTTTGTTGCTTTCTTGATTTAAATGTCATTTTTACAAAAAAGCTGCTGGCATTGGCATTAAATGAACAACAACCGATGTGTTTGCTCTACATGTTTTTACCTTGTGGCATCAATTATTATTATTTTTTTATTATTTTCTTCTCTTCTGTTTCTTTTTCCTTCTTCCTATTGATTCAATGGTCCTCAGCGATGTCGCACCACGTCAAGATCCGCGATCTGCGCGATAAGAGCAAGGATGAGCTGTTGAAGCAGCTCATGGAGTTTAAGAAGGAGCTCTCGCAGCTTCGTGTGGCGCAGCAGCTGAACAGCGCGGGTACCCGCCTTGGACGCATCCGTCTGATTCGCAAGAGCATTGCCCGCATTCTGACGGTGCTGAACCGGAACCAGCGCGAGAGCCTCCGCAAGGTCTACGCAGGCAGGAGGCTGCGCCTGGCAATGCCCAAGGCTCTTCGCCCGAAGTTGACCCGTCGCCGTCGTCTTGCGCTGAAGGACAATGAGAAGAACCGCAAGACTCGCCGTCAGCTTCGTATGGCCCGAAAGTTCCCCAGGCGTGTCTACGCTGTGAAGCTTTAGGCGACATTTCAGTTTTGTTGTTTACTGATTTTTAAAGTAAGTTTGACCTTTTTTTTTTGTGTGCCACCGCATTACCATTTCTTTTGCTTTTGTTTTTCACGGCGATAGCTTTCCTTTCACGTGGGTTTAGTTGTTGAGTGTGAAATGAATGGTTCTACTCATGCTTTTGCACTGTTGTTTCTCCTTTTTCTATTTTACTCTCTTTTTTTGTGGACGAAGTGTGTGTGTGTGTGTGTGGGATGGAGCTCCTTGCGGGGGTGAATAACGACATTGTGTCCTGCATCACCCGCATCATAAAGCGGCACGCTGCGCAGGTGCGTGCTTTGCGGGAGGAGGAAATTGCCATCAACGCCCGTGCGGAACAATTGGAGCACCTGACAGAACTTCTGATGGGCGGTGAAATTTCTCCCTCTTTACATGAATTTTCGTTAAATGCGCCGCAGCCCGAGGAGGAGAACAAGTGGGTGGACGAGGAGGTGCTGGCCGACACGCCTTCTGCACCGCAGTTAGTGACCGTGGATGGTTCCGAACAAAAGGCACGGATGGAGGGATCACCGCTGCCAGCCTCTCAGGCGAGCTCGCAGGATATGTCCTCCGTAGAGCCACTACGAGAGGCGGAGGGTGAAAAACGGAGTTCTACCACACCATCACCCATGCGACGTGAGTTGGATGAGTTCTTTCCCATTGCTGCATCCAAGCGCCCACGACAAGCATGTGTGACGGAAGGTTCTTGTCGTCGCCGAAGTCGTGCTGAGGTGCGTAAAAATGATGCAGGCGCTGAAGTCATCATTACTGCCACGGACATCCTGGCGACCATACCGTGTATTTCCTCGAGTGCGACGCCAACAGCCACGACGGTAGATGCGGTTTTACATGAAGAAAAACCCCGTGGTTATGTGCGCAGCCACCGCCGACGTCAAGACGATTATGCAGCGGATGCCGCAATGTACGTGAGGGGCCATGAAGGTGTTCAGGTGGCGTGTACACCATCCGTGTACTGGGAGATTGCATTTCCAAAGGGACTTCATGCTCATGCTTCTGCCTGCAAAGATCAGGGGGAGTAATGACTGAGGTTTTAGGGAAAAGGGAGCAAACAAACAAAGACAACATGAAAATGGGACAAACAACTGTTCGTGTCTTTGAGGGGCTTCTCTATTTTCTTTCACGGAGAGAAACATGACGTGCAACAGAGGATACAAAGAAGATAAAAAATGGATTTCTTTTGTTTATTTTATTTTATTTTGTTGTTCTCCCACCGGCCGCGGGGGAGACGAAAGGGAAGCCACGGTGTGATACACGCTTGCCTCTTTTTTTTTCTTTTTTTTTTTTTCCCCCTGTCTCCTTCTACACATCCGCAAGGGAAAAAAGCAAGAACAATAAAAGAAACAATAAAAGAAACTAACAAACAAACAAGTAGGAAAAAAAAAAAAAAGGGAGGAAAACAAACATAAAGACGAAAACAAAACAACAAAAACAAGAAGTACTTGAAACAACGGGACATTTCAGCGGTGAGAGAGTAATGTTAGGGCAGAAGAAGCATTTCTTACGCCAGCGGCAAAAGGAAGTAATACGGGCGATGATTGCCTCAGCCGTCCCACTGACGCAGGCAGGAGGACCGTCCGTGGTATCGCGGGCCAATGGAGGGGAAGTCACTGAGCTCACGGTATGGCGTCTTCTCATATATGACGACATTGGGCGTGACGTTATTGCCCCTCTGCTAAGGGTTGGGGACCTGCGAGAGTTGGGGATCACGCTGCATATGCACATTAACTCCAAACGCGATCCCGTACCCGGCGCCCCTGCCATTTATTTTTGCTCTCCTACTGAAGAGAATATTCGCACCATTGCTAGTGATGCGGTGAATGAGCTTTACGAGTGGGTTTACGTTAACTTCAGCTCTCAGATAACACGACGTGGATTGGAGATGCTTGCGGAGAACCTTAATCGGGGCAAACTCCAAAGTATTCAGCATATCCATGTGTTTGACCGAACACTTAATTACGTCGCGTTGGAGGATGATCTTTTTGTATTGATGCAGGAAGACTCTCTGGTGACATTAAACAGTCGTCATGTGAGGGATGATGAAGTGGAGGCACATTTAAATGCCATTGTATTAGGCGTATCTCACGTTCTTCTGTCTCAACAGGTCCTTCCCGTTATTGCGCATAGTAAAACTGGAGCAGCTGAAGAAGTCGCGCGACGGCTGTCTGTTTGTCTTAATGATCATATTAATGAACGCACGCTGGTACCGGCTGCTTCCACGGTGCTTTCTCGACCTCTGTTGCTTATTGTTGATCGTTCCAGTGATCTTGCAACGGTGCTGCATCATCCTTTTTCATATCGTGGGCTGTTGGTAGAATTGGGGGACATGCATCTCAATAAGGTCTGTGTGCGTGAGGAGGATGGGAAGGAGTCTGCCTTTGAGATTGACCCTGACAGAGACGAGTTTTATGAGGCAAACGCCATTCAGGACTTCAGTGCAGTTGGGGGAAATATTGAGGCAGCATTGAGGCAGTATCGTGAGGAGTACGCGGCTCTTTCAGAGACCGCATGCGCTGGAGAGGATGATACGGATGCCAACGCCATGTCAAGACTCTTGGCAAGCGCTCCAAAGCTTGGGGAGAAGAAGCGAATGTTAGATGCTCACACTAAAATGGCCTACAGCTTTTTGCACCACATTCGCAAGAGTCATCTCGACCGGTTTCACGGTGTTGAATTGGGAATCATTAAACGTGAAGGTCTTGACAAGGAGGAGTTTGAAAAACTTCTCTTAACAGGCTTAGGTACTGTTGAGGACCGTCAAAGGCTGTACCTGATTGCATACTTGCTAGACACAGAGGGGGAGTATGAGTCGCTGCTGCAAAGATGCGCTTCGGCATTTGAAGAAACGCCCTTTCCTGCCCTGGCGTACATCAAGCACCTACGAAATTGGTCGTTGAATGCGGTAAGTTCTACCACGGAAGAGTCAAGTGCTGCGCAGGGCTTTGCTTGGGGTTTGGCCCAGACGTTAGCCAAAAACATTGCCAACACGCTTGGTGCCAACGCAAAGTCGGAGTTGCCGCTTACGAAACTTGTGGATGCGCTCTTGCAGGATCCGACGGCATCCCCGAAAGGTGGCACCGCTGCCCGAACCATGGGTGGGGGCAGTACGCTTCGCGCAAAACTTCTGGAGACTGTCGTTGGGTACGACCCACGGACAAAGAAACCACTTGATTTGGCGGATACACACTTTTCGCAGGTGATTGTTTTTACCATCGGCGGTGGCTGCGTCGCGGAGTACGATGACCTCAAAACGTGGGAGGCCGCGCACCCACGAAACGTGGTGAGTTACGGGTGCACTGCTTTGCTGACCGGCAATAAGGCTCTTCGTCAACTCTCTCTGCTAGGCGAAGGGACAACATGAGTCCAGCCCATCCAAAGCGAGGCTCGATGAATGTGAACGATGATGATGATGATGATGGCCGCTTTGTTCTTGAGGAGAAAGGGGAAGAAAATGGGGGGAGGGGGGAATTGTCCATTGCAGGTTGCTTTTTTGCTGCTGTTGACGATGATGATGATGGCTCATTTGACGTCAGGGGAATTTGTACACTTCATCTTTGCCTGTGTGTTGGGACTTTTCTCTTTTTTTTTTTTTTTTCTTGTTTTTTCTTTTGTAGTTTTTTTACTTGCATTTCTATCACTGATCGCTTTCGCCTTCTGGGCATTTGTGCGTTTGCGTCAAATTTATTTGTTCTTCGTCCCTCTTTTTTTGCATTCGAAATTTCAGCGGTTTGGCTTTTTTCCTTCTTTTATTATTATTGTGTGTGTCTGCCTGCTTTTCTGGCGGCGATGGCCCTGACGACTTCTTACCCCTCTTCATGGCTGTGGGAAGTGAGGGGGGCAACATACGCCGGCACATACATGTGCACAAAGAAGGGGAAACGGTGCGGTGCGGTTGTGATGGACCGTCACGAGCGTCTTTCATCCGTGGTGTTGTTGGTCGTGGTGGTGGTGGTGGTGGTGGGATGAACGCAACATTTGTGACTCCGCGTCCCGTATTTTTTTGTTGTTGCGCCGGACTTTTTTATTTTTCTCCTTTTTAACTCCAACGGTGTCTGGGAGAAGTTGCAAGGACTTGTAACCGAACCACGCGCCTATAATGTGATGGTTGCCGCGGCGGGGATGGAAAGACGCCTCAGTGAGGCTTTTTTTTTTTTGTGTTGTTGTTTTTGTTGGCGGCAGGAGGAAAATGTGACGCCATTGATTTCATGGCGCGTCGTCGCTCTTTTCTGCGTCCGCGTTTGCGTTTGTGGGACGCCACGACGTTGGCACCGTGCGTGAGTCATTTTTTCCTCAGCGATAGGGGGGAAAAGGGGAAAAGGGAGGTGCTCTGGTGTGATTTTATGTAAACAGAGGAGCGTGTGTGTGTGTGCCAGTGAATTGACGCTGTTTTTTTTTTTTTTTTTTCTTTTTTCTCTCTCTCTCTCATCCTTTTTTGATGCTCAGGCTTCCGTCCACGTGTGCAGGTTTTGTGAGCGGAACCCAACGGAGGATTACATCGTCCCGTGCGGCGTGTTTTTTTTTTTTTTTTTTGTTGCATTTCATTTTCTTTCTTTTTTCTCTTTTTTTCTTCTTTATTTACACACACACGCACACATGTTCCCTGCGGGCGTCAAGGAACCCAAAAAAAAGGGGGTAAAAAAAAAAAAAAGGGAAGGGGGGGAGAGACAAAACCAACAACAAACAGGACGTAAAAAAAAAAAAAAAAAGAAAAGAAAAAAAAAAAAAAAGAAAAAACTCTCTGTGAATATTCTTTTCTTTTCTCCTTTTTGTTTTGCGGCAGTGTTTTTTTTTGGCTGAGGAAATATATATACATATATATATATTTTAAATATTTTGACTTTTGTGCGTGCGTCTCTCCGACGAGGGACGAGTCAATTCGATTCAGCGGCGCTCGGCAACTGCAGTGGTTGAGTGGTGAGGGGCGAGGAGACGTGCGAGGGGGAAGTTAGGAATACAAAAGAACAGCAAAACAAACCAGCAACACACACACAAACACACAAGAAAAAACAACAAAAAAAGGGGTTGCTGGTGGAACAAAGAAATCGGTGGGAACAAAAGCAAAACGAAAGAGTCTTTCGCACAGGAGGAAGTACGCGTCAGTAAAAGTGTGGGGAGGAAAAGAAATAGGGGTCAAGAAGGCGTTTTTTTTTTTTTTTTGTTTTCCCTCTTGTTTTCTCTTTTCTCTGTGGTGGTGGTGGTGGTGGTGGGGGCGAGTGCCAATTCCGCCTGTGTCTCTTGTGCCGCACATGCTTGCAGAACAGTTGTCTCTGGAGGGGGTGGGGCGCCCGCAGCAGGGCCACCGCCGTCACAAGTTTACCGCCGTGGAGGAGATGGATTGCCCCATCGGCGACATCATGAGTGTGCCGCTTGATCGCCTCTGTCAATTGGCATGGCCTTTGCTGTGCTGCAGGGAGGGTGAGAATTTAGGCAAACCTTTCAGGGTGCCACCCTTCTCTCAGACAGACGCTGACGACGCACAGCTTGCCCGTGTCATTGTCGCCACTGCCACCGAAACCATTCGCTTTTTTCGGATGCAGTTGTGGTGGGGTCAGTTATCGTGCCACACGTTGCGTACGGCGCTTTTTCAGAAGGCCTTGCATGCCATGTTGACCACGAGTGCTGTTATTCCTTCTGGCCAGTCGGCAGATTCCTTGTCGCCTGCTGCCTCTGCGTTGGCTCCACAGAATTTGGCAACCGAAGAGAGGGCACCACTTGGGGGTGTTGAGGCGACGGGCCTGAAGTCTCATCGTGGATCATTCGATGGCTCCTCAACGGATGAGGTTTCCCCTGGTAAAGCTCGCATATACGTCGATAAACGAAGGGTTGCGCCCATGGACTGGGTTCTTCCGTATCTTAGTGGTCAGGAGGATGAGAGGTGGTTGTCAGAGAGGGTGCGGGAGATGGTGGATATGACGTTTTTACCGCACAACGAATACCAAAAGCAACTTGTCTCAAATGCAGCTTATGTATCCGTGCATGCACAACACCACAAGCGTGGTGCCCAGGTATTTCTTTTTATTTTGCGAGAGGTGTTGGAGCGTTGGAACGCCGCAACGGAGACCACTGGAGAGTTTGGTATATTTGCTTTTGGTGTCCTGCTGCCCATTATTGATATTGTCCGCTGTACAAAGTTCAACAACACCGATATGGTGACTGTGGGAAAATTGCTCGAAACGGTGCGATTCCCATCCCGTGGGCGTGGTCTCAGTAGTGAGTCTCTTTCCAAGGCCACATTTGTCACGAGGTATAATCTTTCATTGGGGGAGAGTATGATGGAGAAGGATGTGGACGAGAATGAGGATGAGGAACAGGAGGAGGAGGAGGAGACAGGCGGCCGATCGCCACAGCCGCACACGTCTCTGCCGCCGCTATTGACAAGGTGGGGAATGCTCCTGGGCGATCAAATGTTACGAGAGCGAACACACAAGGCGGATTATGGGCATAATGCCATTGCGTCCACGATGGTAACCGATATGTTTCTAATGGCTCCATTGGCCCGAAAAGTGAGCGTATACGTTCGTCGGGCTTCCTATTGCGAGGGCGTGCAGCTGGTGTTGCTTCCAAGAGCCTCCATCGCTGCCCCCTGCGCCACTGGTAGCGCTGCTGCTGGTGATGGTCCTGCTGGTGCTATGGAGGAGAGGGAGGCGGAGGTCACTGAAAACGACGATGTACAGCCCATAAAACCTGTTTGGTTTGAACCACTTGATGGCGAAACACACGAACTTATTGGCGGTTGCGATGCCATGCTGCGATACAAGCGGAGTTCGGAAGGTTCTGCACATCCTCGTTTACAGGCAGAAGTTCGAGTAGAAACAAGTCTTGAGGTGGATGGAAGATGGGTCGTTGAACTGTGGAACGCGTTGAGTGGCACCCAATTGCTAGTGGCGGAATCTCTTTTACAGAGGGTGCGAAACGGATTTACGTCAGGTGACGGTCGCATGCGGGAGGAGTCCTTGGTACTGTTCCGTAATGGGCTGCTTTCTCAGCCGCGGACGAACGCATTACCGACGTTTGTGATGGAACTTTTGACGCTGGATGAGGACATTTTACGAAGGCGTGTAACGTGTCGCCAAAGCGATGCACGAGGTGTGCGGGCGGCGCTTAGCCTGATTGGCATGTTTCTTGCCAACCATGAAGTCGATCAATTGTCCTGGGAGTCACGCATATGGCAAGATGCTGTGAAACGCGTTAGTCTTGCGAGTAGTTCTTTGGGGAGAAATCCGGGCGCCACTGAACTGGCCACGTTTGTTCTTGAACACGTCGCGCCGTGTCATTTATCAATGCCGCAGATTGTGGAGGGGACCATTGCTTTTTTAACATCTAACATTTCGGTGGGTGAGGTGCGGACTATGTTGTCGACCCAACGTGCACGGGCAGAACTTTGTGTTCTTGCGCTCTCCCTCTTACTACGCGCAAAAGAGAATTTCGTGCCAAAGGGTATGTTTTATTTGGTCTCTTTATTGCAGGATTTTATGGTGTGTGAGGGGACTCACTACCTGTCGCACTTTCAGGGCTGCGGGGAATCCTTGGAAGAGGAAATTCGTGAGTTGGTGCATCGATTACTGACGAGTGTATTCGGGGCACTTCATCGTATCATGTCGCTGCCGGAGGGGGAACGGGAGAGGCACGGACCGCATCGTTTTTTATGGGATGCGGATGACTTTGGCCCTTTTGCTCTCGTCACTCTGTCACTACTCGCATCTCCGCTGGATGCACGGGATATTGACTTTGTTTGGCGTAAAATTGCCAGTCAGGTGGAGGGACTTCTTCCTAATTTTACCGACCTTAGCCGGTCTGCTTCGTTTAAAGTGAGCGAGAGGGAGGAGGGCAGCATGTTGGAGGCACTCCGAGCCCTTGTAAACGACTCCATTGCAGATCACAGCAACAGCGGTGCTACTGGCCATGCGGATCAGCCGTTTATTGGGATGACGATGACCGGTGCCAGTGAGCGTGGGATTGGCGTGTGGGTGCCGACTGGACGGGACCGTTTTTGTTCAACCGTCGTCCCGCTTTACACACCCGGGTCACAGGTGTCAACATCCCACATATTTTCTGCGTCATCATCGACGTCGGTGCCATTGGTGAACGGTTCCCCGCTTTCCCCCTCAACTTTTTGCGTGGCAGAGGTGGAGCTATTGAGTATGCCATCACGCGACCTCATTGTCGCATTGACGACGAAGCAGCCAAGTGGGCTTACTGCATACAGTATGAAGGATGACCCAAATGGGTTTTACTTTTTTCCAAACGAAGGGACATTGCATCACAACGGCTCCCAAGTTTCATTGCCGCCAATTTTTCAAGGTGATGCACTTGCCTTTTCTTTTTCCTTCAAGCCGAAGACATCTACACGGGTGTTGAGGATACTTTTAAATGGCATTCGAATATTGGAATTTCCGGCACCAAGACATCAACTTTTTCTTGTTGCAGGCGTGACGGATGTCTCAACTCTGCGCAGTTCCAGTTTTCGTGTCTGCTTCCGACCCTACAAGGGGATGTCTCTTGGGGCCTCGACGGTGGTTTGCGGCAACAATGATGCGGTTGTTAATGCGTTGCCGACACGTCACAGCATTTCAGTGTTTGCGACAAATGTTTTCTTTTATCTCATATCATTTTGCGCAAGACGTGTGACGCAATTCCGTCGTCAGGGCGGTGCTGCGAGCGCTTCGTTGCAGGCGGCTTGTCCGGCCAATTCAGGTGCTCGAACATTTGTCCCACACACGGAGGAAGTCTGGCGAGGATTTGTGGATGATTGCTGTAACCCATTGAGGCAGAATGTGGAAAGCCTGATCGAATCCATCAAGCGCCTCCCGCCCTTGTCGCAGATCAATGATGCCACGGAACGTGTTAAGCGGAATGCCGCGTCGTTCGTCTATCACCGTTTCCTAATGGATTATATTACAATGATACGCACCGCCATTCGGTGCTCATCGTCCCCTGTAGAAATGTTGTCAACGCTGTCAAGGGTGGTTTGCTGCGAAGATGTTGGCGAACGGGAGAGGTGTGCGGCACTGACGATTGCCTGCTCGATATTATGTGATCCGCATCGTGGGATTGGCCTTGGCACCTACAACCCGCTTCAGTTGTGGGATTGCTGCCGATCCCTTTCACGACACGTGACAGAGTTGGCATACAATCCGGTCTTTACTGTGAAGAGTGCCGCGGCGGAACTCACCGTGTTTTCTGGTGGCCGACGCCTTAAGTCCGTGTCGGCATCCCACAGCACCTCGCGTGCGATGCGGAATACGACTTCTTTTGCCTCGCAGGGCATTCCATTGGACGGTTCGTTGGGTGAGGTGGTGACTTTTTCCGTTCGTCTTCAACGGGGTTTTGCCTGTGACACACTGGGTCGATTCTACTACGTTGGCCTGGCGTGTCCATATCCGATGTCTTCGGTGACGACCCTGTCAAGTTATCCTGGTGACTGGCAGAGCATCGTATACACGTATGCCATTACGGATTACTTTACCGACGTTTCATCTCCCTCGGCGCGGTCGGAGTTACCACGTCATGCGAAAAATTGGATGTCTAATGAGGAAAACATTATCTTTGGATCTGGCGATGTTATCACGGTGATTGTGCATACAAAATTGCGTTGCATTTCGTTTGAACGCAATGGATTGTCACTTGGGACTCTTTACACGAATATCCCGTCCATGGTGAAAGTTCTTTTTCCATTTGTCGAACTCTTTAATAAGGACGCGTCGGCCCTTTTTTTATATACTCCCCGAGAAATTGGCATTCGTGCCCGTTTTGCGATGCGTGCCATGTTATATCATTGGGGAACGGAGCTTATACCGCGACTGAACGAGATGCTGAAGGCAAATGATGTTGTGGCACTGCAAGTTCTTGGCGCGGATGGAGATGAGATGTGTTTTTGGTACCGAAATCCTCCACGCGGTGAGTTAAAGGGGTCTCGTGTGGTACGGCTTGTACGGCAGCTAGGATCCAACGCAGAGGTGGTTGTGGAGGGAACCACGAAGAGTATGATGGTGCTGGCAGCGGCGTTGGAGCCCAATTATAATGTGGTCATTAGTAATGACTTGCCCGCCACAATGGTTTTGGATGAACTTATGCGTATTGTTTCTACCTCCATTAGTTTTACTACGAATTCGGAAGGATGCGACGGTGTACACATTCGACCAACCAAGATGTTTCTTTGCGCTCTTCGACTGCTGTCGGAGATGGAGTTGATGCCTTTGTTTTCATACGATGTGGAGGCGCTTCGGGCTTTGTTGATTCAGCTTATACGTGTTTTGGGGGTACCGGATGCCATTTCTTCTGAGGGGCAGTATATTTTATTGGAGGCTTGGAATGAGTTGATGTTACTCCCTGACGATGATGAGCTTTGGATTTCTATTCCCCACGACGCGGAAACCAACGACGTTGCGATGGAACGAGACCACGACATGGATAATAATGAGACCGAAGGAGGGATATATGATATATGTTTGCGTTGCCCCACCTGCGACAAGGAGTGGGGCAACTGCACATCGGAAACACATGTCACCCCATACAGTCCTTGTTTTACCCTGCATTGCGTGTTGCAGCGCTTGGGTGTGCCATCGCCATTTACGGGTTTTATATGTGAGTGGTATCTTCCCAAAATGCATTTTTGCGTGACAATTCGCATGGGTCCTCATGGAGAAATAGAGGGTGAGGGTGAGGAGCCGCGTGGTATTTTTACGTTCTCCGCAAAATATGTTTCCAATCAAATTATACGAGGAAGTTGTGCGTACAAGTGCGCCGAAAACTTCACCACCCGTTCTCAGATGGATGAGGAGTGGGCGTGTGAATTATGTACATTCATCAATTTGGCTGATTCCACTCGGTGTGCCATGTGTACAACCGCTCGTCCTGGCGCGACGTGGACATGCCTCCTGTGCGGCTACGCTTTTAATTCGAAAAACAATAACATTTGCACAACCTGTGGACATCAACGCATGGGCGCCACAGAGACGGACTCCAGAGTTGAGAAGAAACTGGCGTATTGTGAGGGCTGCGGTGAGCATCGGGAATACACCACATTTGATGATTTTGTTTGCCACTTTTACTGTGAGCATTGCCAACGCGCCTCCCGGTGGCTGCCGGAGGAGAAATACACCGGTCTCATTGAGGCAACACTTGTAGGTGCCGGCGACACGATGGATTGGGTGATTATTTTAGGTGACAACATCACTGTGTACTCAAGTTTGAAAAACGATACTTATTCACTGGAAGCGATGAAACAGGCTGCGGAGTTGGCGTCGCCAGGTGCAAGTGATCTTTCGCGGTACGTCCCGCCGCTTGTGCAGGTCCGTACGACTGGAACGGACGCATCAAACTCCTCATCGGCCTTGCAGCAGCAGCAGCAGCAGCAGCAGGAACAAGAACACGCACAAGAACAAGAACAAGAACAAGAACAAGGACGCGAACATTCCCGTGGAGTGGTTTCTGCTGTCCTTTTCTTTTGCAGTTGCATTGTTTGCCGTTGGGGGCCAGATCTTGCCCCGGAGCAACTTGCAAACATGGATTTGTTGCGACGGCTTCGTGTTTTGGATGACAGTTGGTTGACTGGACTTGAGAAGATCCCGAGTGAGGCTGCACGTGGAATTTTTTCTTTTTCCCTGCGTGTTTTGCTTGCGGGCACGAGCAGTGAGCAGGTGATCCGATCCCTTTCTTCTATTTCTCGTGTTCTGATGAACAGCCACCCCACTCTACAAACGCAGCGACATTACTTGCTTTATGCTCTTTGCGTGAATGCTATGAGAGGTAGCGGCGATCGTGCTGTGCGGGAGGCTTGCTACGCCGCGCTCAATGCGTTAATAGAGGAGTCATCTGGACAGCGACTGAATGCAAATTCTCTCCGCGATGTGGTAGCGATCACCCCTGTTGTGGCGGAGCAGCAACGACTTATGGTGCACGCATCGCTTCGGGGTGTGGATGTGTCTAGCGGGACAAATGTGATTTCTACCAGTTGGTTGATTGAGGCTGTGGAACGGATGGAACGACGGGAGAGACTTCCCGCCATTTTTGATGAACCATCGCCGGATATCTTTCCCTATCTTGTAGAGCTGCCAGACACACGGATGGGGGAAGGCGGTGAGCTCATTGTGGGACAGGTGCGTGGTAGTGTTGGGGTCTTTGCAAGCAAAGGCGGTCGGTACTACTATGAGTTGGTGATCCCAGCCAACTTTAGTAATGATCGAAGCAAGACGATTATAATGGGGTGGGGTACGATGCAGCATGAGGTACTTAGTAGTGGACAACATGTTGGAAGTGATATTCATTCATGGGGGTTTAACTGCCAAGATCGACTGCGGGTACTTACGGGTGAGCAGGCGATTTCTACTCCACGCCCAATTGTTGGCAGTGATGTCATTGGAGCGCTGCTGGATCTTGATGCGATGATGATGTGCTGGAGTGTGAATGGTGAGCAACTTATGTGGGTTGCCGTCTCGACGCAGGGAAAGGGGGAAGCGATATATCCATTTGTCAGCGCCTCTGTTGAGCCACTTGGAGTTGTGGTGCGACTTGGCCATACACAATTTAAACCCGATGGGTATGAAGACTTCAGTCCCTTTTCTCATGAAATGGCACGACGGGAAAGTCACGTCAAGCCGCAGTCGTATGAGTTCTACGCGCAACTATGTAGTCTCGGCAATGACATTGTCAATTGCGGCTTCACATTGGATTCTTTACTGGATACAAGCGCATGGTTTGATCGTGCCCAGGAAGTGATCACGCAGTACCCGCTTCTCTGTGAGGAGATGGCGGAAGACACGCTGGAGGGGCTGCGGCCTTACTTTCAACACCTGCGCTCCATCAACTCTTTGGCTATCAGTGTGGCAAAGAGCCATGACATTCTGCGGAACTCCCCTTATTTAATGCGACGATATCAAAAGACACGCCAATTGTTGTTTTTTAGTGCACGTTGGGCAATTGTAGAGCGACAAATTGAGCGCCGACTAATTCGCAGCAAATTGAGGCACCATCGCGAGGTTTTGATTGATCTCAACCGCGCCAAGGCGATGGCGCAGAGCAGTGAAAGTCTGGATTTTATGACACGATTTGAAGGTTCCATAACCGGGCAGCTTTTTCGTCAGACAAGGGATGCTGACATCTATCTAGATGCCGTTATGTTTGTTATTAGTCTGGCGGGGGAGGTGGCAGACGATGCGGGGGGCGTGACACGCTCTGTGGTGACAATGATGTGCGATGAGTTAAATTACCGTGAAGAGGACGACGGCCGTCGTGTGGATCCGCTGCTGCCCTTTTTTCGACTGACAGGCCACACGACAATGGCGGGGGTGGTGCCAAACATGGACTTTTACCGAGAGAACCCTGAGCATCGTCTCCTGTTTGTAGAAGTCTTTACATGGCTCGGAAAGTTAATTGGCAATGCGACGATGAGTGGGTACTTAATGTTCTCCTTCACGTTCCCGCGTCTGTTGTGGAAGTTTCTCACCTTCGACAATCTCACCATTGAGGATTATCATGCGGATATTGATGACACCGTACGTGGGGCTTTGAATGATGATGAATTTATTCTTAACGACGAATTTTTCTACTCGATCCCTGGAATTGAGTGGAGCGGCGAAAGTGTGACTGACACCATGGGGATGGTGCGCTCCACCCGCGGGTATCCTGTCGTGACACCCACGCGTAGCACCGCGGATATGGCCAGTATTTTTCCCACCGATGGGCATGAGGAGAGCGTTACTGTGGCGCAACGTCGAAAGGAGGCGGAGCGGGCGCTGCTTCATCAGTACGATGAATTGCTTCTCGCTATGCTTTCTGGCATCACGTTTGTTTTGCCAGCCTCTTCACTGCAGCTCATCCGCTGGGACGATTTGCAACAACGCGTGTGTGGAAACTCCTGCGCCACGGCGGAGGATGTCATCTCCTCCCTGGACCTTTCCCTTCTGTCAGAGGAGCTCTGCCATATGCTGAAGGAGGTTGTGCATGCCTGGCCACAACAGAGGCGTTCGCAGTTTTTGCTCTTTTGTAGCGGGCAGCGGCGTATTCCATTACCAGAAAAGGTGCAGGTTGCATGTGGCGATGACCCCATTGCGATTCCAACGGCCCACACCTGCTCACCCATCTCGTTGCTGCTACACCCGTACCCTTCCGTCGCCGTTTTGCGCGAGAAGTTGGAGGTTTGTTTGCGGCATGTTTATGAATTTGGATTTGCATGAGAGAAAATTTTTTTTTTTTTTTTTTTTTTTTACGATTTGCCTCATTACGTATTGTTGTTATTTTTCCAAATTTTTTTTTTATTATCACCCTTTTTTTTTTTCTTCTGTTTTTCTGTTCTTGTGTGTGTGTGCTTCTTTTTTTTTTTTTTGTTTCTGCGACTTCAGCGCCCATGCACCCGCCGCTGCTGGCAGTGCGTGTGACGGTGGTGGTGGTGAGCCGATGTCTGTCTGTCTGTCTGTCTGTGGGATGTGTGCGACGGGCATCGCTTTTTTTTCCCTTTTATTATTATTTAATTGTGAATTGTTATTTCTCCTTTGATGTGTGGCTGCCGCTGCGATGTTTTTTTTTTTTTTTCCTACTTTTTTTTTCTGATGATGGCGTGGCGAATACTTCTTTTTTCTCTTTTTTCTTTTTTTTTGCCCCATTCTACTTTGCGTTGGGGTGTGGGAGGGAGGAGAAAGCGAGAGAGAGGAAGAAACAGGCATACGCATACAGGCAGGCAGGCAGGCGGGTATACGTGGGCCGAGATCCGTTACCGGCGAGAGGAATTAGGAAGAAAAGGGAGTCGGAGCTCAAATAGAAGACGGTGGCGTCAATTTATTACGGACAACATGCCGCAGGAGGAGAACATCGTCTGCCACGCCGTTGTCCTCCGCATGGGGGAACTCTTTGGTGAGTTTGGGCTTGAGTTTGACAGCAGTCATCTCGCCAATGACGTTGCCGCCGTCACGAAGTGGAATCTGCACATTGACCTGGAGGATTTTGACGGTAGTCCCGAGTTGTGCTTTGACGAGGAGATGTCGATTGAGAAGCCACGCAAAGTAGTGAAGTTGAGGGCTGGTCGGTTTTACCTCGCGCGTGTTCGTGTGTTTCTGGCGGACACTTTGACGTGGAGCGCCTGGTCAGACACCGTGCGCACCGCCACCTTGCATGCCGTACTGGGCCAAGTGAAGGAAATTGGCGAGGACTACGTGCGGGTGCAGTGGAATCGTCCCCCGCGTGACACGTCCCACATCATTGAGGAGAGGGATATTCAGGCGACGCAAGCCATTGCAGATATTTTAGACTTGGAGCTACGTATTATGCGTGAGGATGAAATGGTACAGGAATTTTGCGATCGCTTTGCGGTCGGAGTACGGACGTACACCGTTCGTGGGTTGCGTCCTGGTGCCGCCTACATTGTCATGATTCGGTACAAGACGCTTATCAACACCATGAAAAACTGGACGGAAGTTGGTCGTTTATACACCAAATCAAGAAACATCATCTCCCTTGTTAGCCGGGGTGAGGATGCTATCAAGGTGAGTTGGCACCCGGGACCGAGTCCCGTTGACGCCGTGGGGTACATCGTTCCGGAAACAACTGTCCATCTCTACGAGGTTTACCTTGAAGGGGAAGATACTACAACGAATACGGTGCAATTACCAGAGCAACAACGTGAGTACCGTGTGGAGGGATTGTCACCGGGCACGCTGTACGCCTTCTATGTACGTAGTTTAACCATTGAGGGAATATGGGGCTGTCGCTCCGAGCCATGTAAGGTGCGTACGGCGGAAATTCCAGAGCTCTCCGTTGTTGCTTCCGGTGAGACATTTCTCTCCTTCACGTGGATGCGGGGACACGAGGAAGCCGAGGAGTCCAGGGTGGAGTTTTGCCTCCAGAGTTTTACGTCACGGCACAAGCAGCAAGAAATCATTCAGGTTGGACCAAGAGCGGAGGACAAAGTGATTCATGTAAGAGGACTTACCGCCGGGACGGAGTATAGCATGTCGATACGGACTTTCTTGCAAGGTGAATGGGGTCGATGGACAGAACCTCAACGGTTCCGTACACAATTTAAAGTGTCCTTGTCCTTTCTTGAACGCGGCGAGGATTTTTTTACCATTACACTGGAAGACCAAAACAATACCGTGTCGGATTCACATTTCAATGTCATGGTTATGCGGGTTGGTAAAGGGGATGAACGTTTTGTTGTGCTGGATCAAGAATTTAAACGTGAACCGAATGAACCTGGGTTTCGTGTCGGATCATTGCAGTCAAACACCGTGTATGAAGTGAAATGCAGGCGTTGGCAGCACAATTGTGTCACTGGGTATGAGGGATGGGGTGATTTTACTGCACCCATACAAATACAGACGCTACAACATTTGGCCCTACATGTATTGGATATTGGTGAGGATTTTGCTCAGATTGTTTGGCGTCGTGGAGTTTCTGATACGGCGCCGTTGAATTGTTTGACAACACAGACTTTTCCAGATTTAAAGTATGAAGTAGTCATGGGCTGTGTAGATACAGGTGAGGATTATATTGTACACAAACAGGTGCTACAAACGAATTACACCATTACAAATTTACGTCCGGCTACAACATATATTGTATCTGTCCGCGCCTGTAATGAACTGGATCAATGGGGTTTGTGGAGTAAAGTGAGGCTGCGTACTCTTGCTTCCGTTGTGACGTCTGTTCACGAGATTGGGGAGGACTTTGTACGACTCATGTGGCAACGGGAGAACATTGATGATGAGAATGTTAAGAAGGATGGTAACTGCAATGATAACAACTGCCGTCCGATTGAAAGTTTGGTCAATGCCGATGCGTTTGTCTCCCGCTACGCTGTGTTTGTGTGTAGCAGCGAGGATGGAGAGTCGATTCCGAGTACATTGAGCGGATATCACATGGGGGGAAACTCTGAGGTTGCCCGGTACGAGATTGTCACAAGTGAGCATACATCTTTACGTATGAATGACCTTCTTCCTGATCGAGATTACGTCGCCGTTGTACGTGCGTCTACCGCAACCGGGAAATGGGGACTTTGGAGCCATCCGCTGCGCTTCCGCACGAACCCACAGTTTCGGATTCCAGTCAATAACCTCACCATTGGAGAGAACTACGTCAACCTTGTCTGGAGCCGTGACGCCCATCCAGTGGTGGACAAGGGCGTCTTTCTCGGCGACTTAAGTGTGACTGGACAGCAGTTACGCATTCATGGCGTTGACACCCCTTACTCGAAGGATCACACGCTCCCTGCGGATTTGCGTGAGCTGAAGATTTACGGCCTTTCCCCTGCCACGGCGTACACCATTCAGATTCGCGTGTGTGGTAAAGGGGGAGATTGGGGACGTTGGAGTCCTCCCGTGCATATTCTCACACGAGACACCATCGTGACACGGGCTGTTGAGGTCGCGGAAGATTACATCATCATCGCATGGGAACGTCGAAAGGTGGCCAACCCTAAAAATTATCCCACTGGACGAGGTATTGTCACTTCCTACCATTTGCGTGTGTATAATAACTCTGGTATTCACTCCGAGGTGTTTCTCGGCGATGGGGATTCCCCGTACCTCATCTCCAATATGACACCAGACACATATTACTGTGTCGAGATGAAGGCCAACTACAATGATGAGGAGTGGGGCCTGTGGAGTACCCCAATGTGGTGCCTCACAATGAAAACGCTGGAAATTCAAACCAAATTGATTTCTGAGGAGTTTTCATGTATTGTCGTTAAACGGCCGTACCAACAGAAGCGACTCCCAGAGGATGATGGGAACCGTGCCAGCGATGATCGCATTATTGCGTTTGGTCAGTTTCGTCCAAATCTCATGCTCTGTGTCACATCACCTATTCTTAACCCGACACCACACATCTCTGCGGGAACCACGAGGCCACGTCATCAAAATTCATCCCTGCCACCTGACGCAGCGGACCATCGACTGATTTATCAAACAGAAATCCTTTGCGCTTCGGACGACACCGATCACACCATTCCAAACCTCCGTTCTAACACGGTGTATAGTGTGTCGGTGCGCTCAAAGCTTGTCAATGGGGAGTGGGGAATTTGGTCACAACCCTCACTATTATTTGCGACGGTCCCGGCAACGCAGGTGGAGTTCACGGATATTGGGGAGAAGTTTTTGAAGGTGGACTGGAAACGAAGTGCACAACGGATTCCTCCACAAATTAAAAATCCTTCCGCTGTAAAATGCGGGCTTGGCACAATTAGTGCATCTCGTGTGAAGGTGCGTGAGATTGGTGGTTCATTACAAAGAACATATGAATTGAATAATTCCTTGAAAACACTCCGGATTGATGCGCTTTCCCCTGCATCTACCTACGCCGTTTCCGTACAGACATACAATGACAACTATGAATGGGGTGTTTGGAGTGAAGAGGAAAAGGTCCGCACAATCCCTGGTATAGATATTGCAGTGCAACATATTTCTGAAGATGCCGTTTGGGTTGCATGGAAGCGTAAATCCGATGTATCTAATTTTGTGAATTATGATACGGCCCTTAATGTGGATGTTATTCCTTGTACATATGAGATTAGCATTGTTGGGGGCGGATACTTTAATTATACGAAGGAGATGGATACCAACACTCTTTTCTTTCGTGGTCTACAACCGGATACTTTGTACAATTTTCAGGTGCGGGCGCAGTCCTTTGAGAACCAAGAGTGGGGAATTTGGTCTACGCAGTCTTTTCGTACAAAGCCTCGACTTCGTGTGACATTTGGAAATGTGGGTGAACATTTTGCGATTGTGGAGTGGCGCCGTCATTTGCCAAGTTCTATTGGGGAACGGGATGTAAACACCGTTGTGGAATCAGAGGATGTAGTGCAGCAGTTCCGACTGAAGGTGGAACGTGCGGGCAGCAAGGAGACTTACGTGTATGACTTAAGTCCATACATCAGCAGCTTCCGTCTCAAGTCTCTGCAGCCTTCATCTGAGTACCGTGTATGGCTCTGTGCCAAGGGGTATGAGGGTGTTTGGGGTTTCTGGAACGATGAGGCCATTTTTCGTACATTGCCCAAACTGGAACTGGAAGTGACTGCCATTGGCGAAGATTACGTTACGGTTTCATGGAAACGTGGAAAATGGGTGGGTGAAACGGTGGCTGATACCGATGCGGTTGTACGGGAGGCAGATGGTGCCGTGAGTGGCTATAAAGTGCGGGTGTTAGATATAAATGGAATGGAGGTGGTATCACAGTTTATCGGGTTTCGTGAGACCTCCTGTACTCTCTCGCCACTCGATCTGTCGAGCGTTTACTCTGTCGAGGTGTCGGCCAAAGATACGTACGACGAGTGGGGTCTTTGGAGTGATGCGAAGCACTTTATGACACTTGAGGCGGTGGATTTGCGTATTATTAGTGTGGGTGAAGTCTTCGTGGAGGTGGAATGGGGTCGCTGCCGTGAATTATTACGTCGCCGCCGAGCCCGGCATGGCCGTCGTCGACGTCGCAACTCCATTCTATCGTCGGATGAAAATCGCTCTGGCGGAGCCGTCGGTATGAATGAGACGGAGGGCATTTATAACGGTGGCAACAATAGCGCCGATGGATCCTCTAAAGAGGAGAACTCCAGCGGGATGGAGTTGCCGGACACGGATGCGAGGGTTTCTGCCAACAACAGGACGAATGATCAAGAGGGCCCTTACCAAAATGAAGCACACAACATCGCGGAAAGGAATGACGGTGATGAGGATGGCGAAGAATATGAATTTGACTATGAAGAAGAAGAACAAGGGGAAGAGGAAGAGGAGGGGGAGGAGGAGGAGTACTACTACTACGAAAAAACACTTCTACATGGTGATGACGGTGTACTAAATTGGCATCTGCGTGTCCAAGGACAGCGTGTATTTGGAGGACAGCCTGGGGCAGAGGACTTTGCGGAACTGTGTATTGCTGCGGACGAGCTACAATGTGTCATTGACTCGTTGTTGCCGTATGCCACTTACTCCGTCTCTGTGCGGGGCCAGGACAAGGGAGGTGCATGGGGCCACTGGAGCGAACCACGCAAGTTGGTGACATGTCCACTTCTCGCCCTCACTGCCGACAGTGTCACGGAGACATTTATTCACGTCACATGGAACAGACCTCCTGCGACACTGACGCTGCCGGAAGGTTTCATTTGTTTCCCACCTGCAAATGATATTCACAATTATCAGGTGCACATTGAACCGCTTGCGACAGAGACACCGTTTGATGAACAGGATGAGCCCCTTGTGGATGGTGCACGTGTGTATGAGACCTCTCAGCCATCCTTAAGGCTCTGGAATCTTTCCCCTGGTGTACGCTATCGGGTTGTGGTTCGAGAGCAGATGATTAACGCTCAAGGCGAATTTGTGCCCAACGCATGGGGATGCTTTTCTGCTATGCAGGTGGTGGAAACCGTAAATCCAATGAAGGTGGTTCCGATTGAGATTGGAGAGGATTACTGTCTTGTTGGATGGCATCGCGTCCAGCGTCCAGCCGACATCGCGTCCGATATAAGTCTTGTGACGGGTGTGGCGAAGGTCACCGCGTACGAATTGCGTGCGGTACGACTGGACGAGATGGCAAAAAAGGAGTATCAAGGCCCCTTGGCGCTGGATGCGGTCGTGCCACTGGAGGCGAATGAGACCTCGTATCATTTGGTCAATATTGTAAGCAACACCATTTACGCCCTGAGCATCCGCGCGCAGATGGAGAGGTATTGGGGTCCATGGAGTGCCGTCACAAAGTTTGTGTCGCAGAGTCGCCTGGAGGTAAAGGTACGGGCTGTGTATGAGGACACGTTTGTGGTGAGCTGGAGCCGTCCACTACCGGAGTGGGCGCTGTCACGTGCGGATTCCAGGAATCTCAACGGAGAGACAGGGCCCAGGAGAGAGAAGAAACCGGACGCGGATTTTGTCGTGGAGGAGGTCACCGATGAAAATGAGGCAACAGGGGATGAAAGCATCAACAACAATAACGACGACAACAGTAAGGGCAGCAATTTGTCCGTGGAAAGCAGCAATGATTTTTTTGCCACCGTATTAATTGGGGACTACTCCGTTGATCGGTACGAATTGTACGTGGATGGGATCACATGTGACATGGAACAGTGCCTGACGTTGCCGAAAGAACAGATGTCGGCGCGCATCGGGGGACTCAAACACAACCAGATTTATTCCGTGTGCATTCGCTCACAGAGTGCGAAAAAACATTGGTCAATGCTGTCGCGGCGCGAGTCATTGCTGACGCTCACACCAATGTGTGTGGATCTGTCACACTACACTGAAACCATGACGTTGATTCGATGGTTTCGTGCCCCGCAGGATATCATGGTGTACGATGCCCTTTTAGAGGGCCGCCGAGCCGAGGAGGAACGGCGGTGCGATGAGCGTGAGCGACAGGATCTCTTTGAGTTGAAGCGACGTGCGCAAGGGATGGAGGAGTCTGTGGAGCGAAAATATTTGAGTGATCATTTGGCGGTGCGGCGGGAACATAATGCCGCGCGTCGCATGGATGCGTTGCATCATCTGCGGATTGAGAACGTTGTGTTGGGGGATGCCGAGGTGACGGGTTATCATTTCAAGTTTATGGGGAAGGTTGGGGGATGCATGCCGTCCATTCCAGGAGTCCAGCGCATGTTGTTGCAACAACGCGGGACACACTCGTCTAGGAGACGGAGACAAGAGAGCGCGAAGAAATCAGCCGGCAGAATGCGTCGGCAACAAAACCAGGAGGAAACCCCCACCCACACGTTGGGGGACGCCGCTGCAGGGAATGGTGCGGCACCTGTAGTGGCAGACGACGAATTCCCCTCGGAGGATGCGTCGCTTATCGACGTTCAGTTGGGCTCACATGTCACGAGTGTCGTTGTGAAGGATTTGGAGCCGTGCGCTTCGTTTTCAGTGCAGCTGCGTGCCCGCAATGCGGCGGGTGAGTGGTGCCCATGGAGCCAGCGCGAGAGCATCACAACACTGAAGTCCATCGAACTCCACCAGAACCGCTTTGGCGAGCATTACATCAACTTGTACTGGCACCGTCTACCAGCCGCGTTCATGCAGCAAATGGAAGACGATGAGGCACAGCTGCATTCTCTGAACGAGGAATTTGGCCACATGTCAGCCAAAGATCTCGAGGACAAGAAGAGGGAGTTGCCGGAGTTGGAGTACAATGTGATTTTGGAGAGGCTCAAGGGGTGGTGCGAACTGAAACGTCAGGTGGCACATGTGCGTTCACAGCTCTCACGTGGACTTGGGGATGTGATAGTGCATGAAAAAACCCCTGTGAAGGGTTTCCAGTTGCGTATCATTCACGAAAGTGGGAAATTTATGGATTATTACATTGACAACAAAAACAATATTCACCATGACAATGACACAAACAACCAAGCCAATAATGACAAAACCACTATGGATACGACGGATACTGTTGTCACATCGACCACAACTCCCATGAACTTTACGTTTACCGTCACCGGACTGGTGTCGAATACGATGTATATTGCCTTGCTGTGTGCCGACTACGGCGTCGCGTGGGGACCGTGGACGACGCCGCTTAAATTCATGACTCAAAATCTTATTCAACTCTCCATTACATACATCTCGGAGGTGTTTGTCGAAATTGAGTGGTATCGTGCGCCAAACAAACGTATTCCACCTGGTGAAGAAAACGACGTACTGACAAGTGATACTGTATCAAGCGAGGGCCGTGTTTGTCAGGTGCGTATAACGTACGAGGATGAGGAAAATGACGGTAAAATAGTAGAGGAATACCGTACCATGCGCTCTTGTAATATGTTTCGCATTGACAAGTTACGCACCGATACGAAATATACTTTCGCCGTTCGTGAGTGGGATGCGGAAGGGGATTGGGGGCTGTGGTGCGCACCAAAGAAATGTGTGACGTTGCCTGGAATGGAAACAACTGTAAAGGAACTTGGCGAAGACTGGGCGGAGATTACATGGCGCCGCAAGGAGCGACGTGTGGACTATGACGATGACATTGATGTGTTACAGTATGACTTGGAAAAGCTTTCGTACTATTTAAGAGTTCAGGAATTGCCCGAGAATGACGATGAAGATGAGGCACACGCGGTGCCCCTTGAAGAAATGAGAGAGAACACCACGGAATTGATAATCTCCGATGAGATGGAGGGTATTTTTACCTCCAACCATATGACACACGGTGTATTGCCATTACAAGAACATCCAGTAGAATTTGAAGGTGAGAAGGATGGTCTTCAGTGCTTGATTCGTCGATTTGGAAAAGACGTTATCTCCTTTCGACTGGAGAATTTACGACCAGACCGATTCTATAATGTACAAGTGATGTGTGAAACAGCAGAGAATCGTCTGGGTGCGTGGAGCAGTGATCAGTACTTTATCACCATGTCAAAGATTAAAATTTCAACTCAAAACATTGACGAACAGTATGTGGATCTTGTATGGCAACGTCTACCACCAAGACAGCATCCAAACCTTAATATGAGTCGTGTGTTTACAGGACATTACATGACCATTGCATATGTATTAGAGGTGAAGGGTGCTGATGACTTTTACTTGCATGAACAATTACAGGGTCATAACAATACTTCATATCACTTAAAGGGTCTGTCTCTGAATACTATATACAGTGCCCGAGTGTACTCCATCAATGATGTGGATATGAAAAGCCTGTGGTCTGAGACGTTGCGTTTTGTGACACTTGATCGAGTTAAGGTGCAGCCATTTGAAATATCAGAGCAGTCTATTATATTGGTGTGGGGGCGTGAGGAGCAACGACCCTCATGCGCAGAGACTGGTGGAAAATACGATTCTACAATAAGTGTTGGAAGTCGGGAATCGGGTAACTATCTTTTGCGTGTATACCAGGGCTGTGAGTTCTCTCGATGTTTGTTACTGGAGAAGAACTTTCCCGGTGACGTGCACAAGTTTTCTCTGGCGTCCCTTACACCGAACACACCGTACGTTGTCTCTGTGCGGGCAACAAACCTGCTAGGGGAGTGGGGCTTGTGGTCAGAGGAGCGTTGTGTGTATACAATGAAGCTTATCTGTGCAGAGATTGCGGCCGTTGGGGAAGACTACATTCGATTTCTCTGGAAACGTGAAGAACCGGATGAGTTGCAGATTGGGGATTCATTAAATTCTCCTAAACAACCCAACAAAAGTGGGCATGATGTTTTCACTGAGGAACTGGCCGAGGCGGAGGCAATCGCTATAAACGTCGACACGACCGACAATGACGTCATTCCAGAGAGACGCACCAGTGAAGGTGTTGATGGTGCCACGGGCAGTGTTTGTGTGCAGCCACCTACTGAGGCAAATGTGGAGATGTCTGGACAAAAACGCCACTCGATGCGTGGCGTCAACCGCAAAAAGTACCCACTGATGGACCGTCCGGAGCGAAAGGGTGTGGTGTACAACAGTGCAAATACAATTATTGACGTTTATGTTGTGAGTGTGCGACGCGCAGACGAGGCTGAGGACTACACCATTGAGGTGCCTGGTGATGCTACCAGTTTTACCGTTCCATCATTGCGACCGGATACGCGTTACTCACTGGCTATTTGCGCCCGCTACGGGAGTGGCCAGTGGGGTGTCAGCAGTGCCTATGTCACGAGTGGTACGCTCAACTTACTCAAGGTGGAGTTATCGGGCCTTGGTGAGGATTATTTGACCGCCGCGTGGCAACGCTTACCCATCACATACGACACGAGTACGGTAAGTCATGGACGCAAGGAGGACGCCATCTTTTATGAGCTTGCGGTCCACGACTTTACGGATGTTTCTTTTGGTGAGGAGGATGTGGAGGATTTGGCGCCCAGGTTGAGGCGTACCGTTTTTGTGCCGGCGAAAGTGTGGTCTTGTACCGTGAAGGAGTTATTCTCCCACCATCGCTACCGTGTGTGTGTTCGACGGTGGTACAAACCGCTTGAGGCATTTATAAACGACGCCCCTTGTGAGTCTCCGAGTACGGATGATGAGCAAATATTGGATGCGATACGTCGTAATCACGGCTTACCTGGTACATGGGGCGAATGTCTCTACGACGTGACTTTGCGTGATATGATGTGTTTCTTGACAGATAGTGCGGAAGACTTCTTTGTTGTGCGGTGGGAGCGGGATCCACGGGCCCCGGCATTGCCAGTCCTTAACCCATTTGTCCAGATGCCTGTACAAGGTTACCACCTACGTATCGATGAGATGCAGTGGGACGGCGTCACTGTTGTCACCAGTGCCGATTCCACTCATATTGATCAATCGCTTGATGCCAATGAAACGAATTACAAGGCGCAGAACTTGAGACCCGACACTTTATACCGTATTGATGTACGTTGCTGCGTTGACAATGTTTGGGGTCGTTGGAGCCGTAATTTGTTTGTTCGAACGTTACCCAAGTTTTTCATTGATATTGCTAACATTGGTGAAGACTACGCAGCATTTTCATGGCAAAGACCCCGCCGTAGTTCATGTCTTTCTGATGGGACAGAAGTGTTTTGTGGAAATGGTGACAACATTGAAAGATATCACCTTGAGGTGGTGGGAATTGAGCACAGGTTTCATGTAAGCAAAAAGTTTAAGGCGGCACGTAACAATTATCGCATCAAGCAACTGGAGGCAAATACCGTCTACTCTGTCAGTGTACGTTCGTTTGACACACGCTTTGACGGGTGGAGTTTATGGAGTGAGCGTGTCCTATTTGCCACGCTGAAGCCGATGCATTTAACAGTTGGCACTGTTGCGGAACAGTATGTCATGGTTGAATGGGACCGTGAAGAGCAGACATCTGAGGAATACAGTGAAATTGTGGGAGAAGGAGGAGGCATCGTTCAGCTTGGAAACCCCGAGGTGATCGCGTACCAGTTGTGTGTCTTCTTCACCCAACACACCCCATCTCTTGCTGTGGTTGACAAACAGTTTCCGAAGGATGTGACCCGTTATTGCCTTGGCTCTCTCTCTGCCGATACGCCATATGTGGCTGTTCTGCGTGCATGTAACACCGAGTCACGTTGGGGACTTTGGAGCAAGGAGGGATGCTTCCAAACCCAGCGCATATTGGAACTCTGCGTGATAACGGTGGGTGAAAACTGTGTACGGGTGAAATGGGAGCGTTCCGAGGTTGACTTTCACGAGGACGGACGCGGCGCCGGCACAAGGGCGGAACCCATTATATATCAACTACTGCTGAAGGCCGAAACAGAGACGATTGAGCGATTGATTCAACCCATTGATTGTGGTGTGACGGAGGATGATTTTAAGCTTCCCACCTATTTGTTGGAAGGACTTACTCCAAATACAAACTATCTGATGGCGCTTCAACCGGGTTATGAGGAAAACCGCTGGGGATTATGGACTCCCACCATCAACTTTAAGACACTGCAACCTATCTCTATTACTCCTACCACCATTGGCTCAAATCGTCTGGTGATTTCGCTTTGCCGAGGCGTCGAGACACCGTCAACGGAGGCAGATATTGTTGCTACAGGGAATGAAGAGCCTGAGCGTACGGCGCCTTCTGGGAGTATTGTATATTACCAGCTGGTGCTTCTTAAGACGGACGAACAGCAAATTGCACAGGAAAAGGAGCGTGAAAGTGAACCGAATTTTTTGTCTACCCATGCTACTCTCTTCTCTACGGTAGCCACGCAACGTACTCTTTCCATTTCTGCAGCTGCGGTTGGTGCGGCTAGTGTTGCTGCTGCTGATGCTACTGCTGATGCTACTGCTGATGCTACTGCTGCTGCTGCGGTTGAGCCCAATTCTATTGTTGCTGAAGATGCTGGAGAGGTGGACGCCGAAGAGACCATGTATGCCTCCCCTACAATCCCCGCTGCTTCTGTTGCCGTAGATGCAGAATCCCTTGCGGCGACGACGGATGAAAAGCCTGTTTTACCTAAAGGACGTGTGGCCAGCGTGGTGATAGAAGAAGAGCCTCCTGTGCCTGAGGGGTATGACAGGGGAAGTTTATCACGTAGTGCCTTTTTTTGTCCGCCAGCGAAGAAGGATAATGTAGTATTGACGCGTGATTTTGAAGTAAACAAGGAAGATCCAACCAACACCATCTGTGAGCTGGAGGAACTGGAAAGCTCCACTCTTTACAAAATCCAAGTCCGTGCATTGGACGAGAATGGGATGTGGGGTACATGGAAGGAGTTAAATGTGGAGACGGCACCTTTTCCACCGCATTCTGTGGCAATGCACCGCATCAATGCCCAATTCTGTATGCTGCAGTGGGAACCCCCTGACAACCGATACCTCTACCGTTACGTGGTGGAGCAGGCTTTTGCCCCCTCCGATACACGCGGGAAGACAAAGGGTGGAACAGAGTGGCGTGTTGCTGATACTGTGGAAGATACCTTCTGCCGTGTGCGTTTTACCGTACCGCCTAATAAGATGCGTTGCCGCGTCAAGGCCGCACGGGTGGGTGAGGGCCACGAGTTCAGTGAATTCAGTGAACCGGTGAAACTTTCAAGCGGTACACCACCGGAGCCGGTGACGCAACTTGCCATCACAGCCATTGCATACAACTTTATGACGGTGGAGTGGGCTCAATCGCGGTCCGAGATCAGCGGCACCTCTCGCCAAGCACGGACATTGACATACCGCATCTATCTTGGCATCCGGGACCATACGCCTATCTTTGTGACGACCGTTTCTCGGACCACCAGTTATACGCTTGAAGATTTGGAGCCGTCAACGGAGTACACGATTCAAATTGTGGTGGAAAATGCCGATGGCATGAGCTACAACAACCCCACGATTCGTGCGGTGACGAAAAGTGAGCAGGATTCGACTGTCACACGACATGAACCAGGTGAACCACCACTGGGCAGCATTGTGGAGTCCATTTCATCTCTGCGGCGTACCCTACTTCCGGAAATCCCTTCTGCTCGTCCAACGTTGGTCCCGCAGCCGCCATCACGCTCTAAGCGCAAGAGGATTAGTGGTAGGAGTACACCCGGGGCGGCGACAGCAACATCGTCGACAGCGGTAACGGGCACTGCAGCTGTGTCAACTAATGAAAGCCGTGGGAATTACAGATCTATGTCTCGCACGGGGTCAGCACCGCGTATTATGGAAATGAATTCAAAGCGAGGAACACGAGATCGACTTCCATCCCTAAAGAGGAAGCGTTGACGGATTCTGTATACGTGACCATGCGGTGTGGTTGATGAGGGAAGGAGGATAGCCGAGAGGAGGAGAAGGAAGGAAGGTGGCTGAAATTTCCCACCAAATACATACCACTTTTTTTTTTTTTTTGGTTGTTTCTTTAGATTTTTACATTTTGAAAGGCACATCTTTTTGTTTTTGTCTTGCGGGCGTGCCTTTGTGTGTTGTGTGCTGTTTTGTTTACAATGCCTTAGGTTGCCTATTCTTGTTTTGGCACACGATGTATATATATACGTATACCTTCATCATCTCTTGGTATATATGATAAAACGGCTGTAATGTATGTATGTTATGTATGAATGTATATAGGGCTGACTACCAGCGTATTCGGAGGCCGTAGTTTATTTGAATAGAGCCAACGATGTACATAGGAAGCGGAGAGAGAGCATTTTTTTTTTAAAATCCCACCCATCTCTTAGGTATTCACGCAAGAACGGTAAGAGATGAATGGATTATCTATTTCTACTGCGCTTTATTATTATTTGCTGAAATGAGGGAGATGTTATCATTTTTTTTTGTTATTTGTCTTCCTTTTTTTTTTTTTGCTTGGGTGGATTTTATCCATGCGGTCCCTCGTGTTGTTTGTTTTCTTCTCGGGTGTTGACTCCTGCAAATATGACCGTTTTTTTTTTTTGGTTGTTTTTCTGGGCGTTGCAAGGTATCGTGGGAGGAATCGCAAAGGGAGGAGGAGGAGGAGGAGGAGGTTGGAGATGACGCGAAATGAAGCGGAAGACAATGCCGATGACGACGAGGATCTCTTTGCGGTGTTTAATACGCCCGAGCCGGCAGTGGATTTACTCGCGGCACCCGCAGCTCTCCGTCAATCGGATTCATTTTTTGGCGGCGGCCGCAGTGTTTCCGTCACGGAAGCGTTGAGCAAGTCTGCCTCATCTCCCTCACCGTCTATCATGCATTTCGTCTGCGCATCCACCCAAGATGGCTGTGAAATGGGCTCAGTCACACGGCAACCACCTGCAGAAAGGGTTCATGCAGCTGCTGTGAGGGAGCCGAATAGCGGCATTAACATTCGGCATTCTACGAAGAGCTGCGAACAGCTTCCACTTGTGCTTGTGGAGCACCCTTATTCTACTTTTATAGAGATGCGCCGTTCTCTTGCCACCGCGGGTACACCCCCATTGCTTACGGTCATTGGTGTCGTCATTCGTAGGACAGATCCAAAGCAAAAGAACGGTAAAGGCGCATACGGCATTATTTCACTATGGAACATGCGGGGACCCTTCCCAACTCCACAAGATGAGTTGTCCATCCTAATTGTTGGATCGGCATTTGATGCTCACTACACAAAACTGGCAATTGGTCTCGTACTGGCACTCTCAGGTGTACAGCGGATGGAAGGCCGCAAAGTCACTCTTTCTGGCGACACACAGGCTGAGAATACCACGTTGACTAACAGTAATCGCCCCGGTGCGAACTCTTCCAATGTCTGTAGTACCAATTTGGAGTTATTAAAGGTGGTGAAGGGTGACCAAATACGAGTCCTTGGCTACGCAGTGGATCTCCATACTTGCGAAGGAACCCAACAGCGATCAGGTGAACGCTGCAATAGAATAGTGAATGGTGCGCTTTCAAAGTTTTGTTCCAACCATGTTGCTAATCTTCGGCGTGTGGCTCGTGGCAAGGCGTCATCACCCTCCACCACAAATCCACAGAAGCCACTGAGGTCTAATGTTTCTTCCACAACTTTTAGGGCTGGTGTCACACGTGTAGATCCTGCGCTAACGAATCCAAAAGGTGTTATCGCATCCAAGAAGGCTTTGCAATCAATGGTGCGTCAACAACCAGGGTTTCTAACGGTGAAGGGCTCGTGTGGGCTACCAACGACAACACCCGCTGGCTCTGATGTCGTCTCGGCTGCTGGAGCGTACGCGGGCGTCGTGCCGGGCGGTGCATTGTCTGTGACTGGGATGTGTCGTGATGTGGGACGTGTCTTCCGTTCTCCACAGGCACTTGGCGTGACGGCACGTGGACGTGCTGTCCTTGCCGCGGCTGTGGATCAGGAGGATGCGAAGGAACGCCAAAGGCTGCTTCAACTTGCGCTGAAGCCGAGCGAGTTAGGCGCTAAACATCCACGAAATGAAGGCACCTCCACACCGAAGAGCCCAAGGACGACGGTGGCCGAAGATGTAGAGGCGGTTCGTGAGCAGTATGCGCCACTGACGGGCGGGTCTTCTTCTTCTTCCTTTGCGGCCATGCGATGCAATGGGTTTGAGGAGGTGTGTCGCCACCGCCAGGATTATCAACATCACGTCATCACGAAGCGAGCCAATGGCACAACGAGTTCGATTGTTTCTGCTGTTGAGCAGCACCTCCGCGGCGATGGCGTTCTCGCAAAGACAAGAGCTTCAATTGTCCAAGAGGAGACATCACAACAAAAAAACACGGCCTCCGTCTCCAAATCATTGCTCGGCACCGTGGCAGGATCCATTGAGAGTGTGAACGACGGCCTTCGTGCCACGGATGAGCGGCGGAGGTTTGAGCAGCGCATGGAGCGACGACTCATGCAGGAAAAGGCACTTGAGGCACTCGTGGCGGTGACGGAGCAAAAAGTGAATGGAATTTATTGCCGTCAATGTGAACGTTGGTATCTACGCCGCAATGAACGGTGTAAGATGCTGCAACACGTCTTGGAAACAAGAGCGACAATACGACGATTTATTGAGTGTGAACACTGTGGATACAAGACCAGTTTGCTTGGAGACGTGCGTCCATCGAAGATGATTCCGCGATGCCCACGATGTTGCGCCGATGCGATGTGGAAGGCGAGCAACGCGGCACCTGAAATGGCGGCCCCGAGAAAATATCCACCACCACTTTGAGGAGGAATTTGCGGCACGGGTGTGCTGCGGCGTGAATCGGGTATACCTCGCGTATCGGGCGCTCTTTTTTTTTTTTTTTTGAAATCTTTTTTTTTTTTTTGTTTATTCTGTACGTGTGTTTGTGTTTGTGTTTTGTGGGTGTTGCAAGGCACGTGATGGCGTTATCAGACGAGTTTAATTTGGCCGCTGCGGAATTCTTTTTTCCGGCCTGAGAAATGAGAGGACCACCGACTTTTATCTGACTTGTGAGACCGTCTCTTTGTTATTGCCGTGACACCACTACTTTTTTTTTTTCTTTCTTTCTTTTCTTGTTGTATATACTTATATTTCTTCTCCGATGCGTGTTGCGGCGATGGCGGGTAGCTGAACTCACGGTGCGTGTGAAACGGTTTTTGTCTTTTTTTGTCAGTGCGTGTGTGCGTGTATCTGAGAGAGGGAGAAGGAGCGGGGGGATGCCTGTTTCCACCTCAGATGCGCCTGGTTTGAGGCGCGTGGCTCTAACCAGTGAGGCAGCGCGTCTTATTGATGACATGATCCGCTCAGGGAAATATAAGGAGCTGCTGGACGCCATTAAAGGGTTCCGCAATGGTTTTGTATACGGCGCTCGTATTCGCGCCCCACATGCCCTTGTACTGAACCTTGTGTGGACCAATGCTCCATATCGTGTGATGGCACGTAAAATCTATCAGGTGACAAAGCGGCACAGCATTGCGCTTGGCTGTACAAGCCTAACCTTTTCTCTTTTGCGGGCGTTTCTCCGTAAGCTGCATGGTGGCCCACAAAATTGGCACAGCGCATTGGCCGGGTTTTTTGTTGGGGTTATCTTTTGGGGTGAGCAGAATCCAGTGACGGTGCAGATGAGCATGTACATGCTGTCTCGCATTTTGAGTGCCCTCTTATTTATCCTTGCGGGGAAGTTTGGATGGAAATTTTCACCAGGTGCCTTTCGCATCTACTCGGGTGTGTTGTGGATGATTGTCATGCCACTCTTCCTTTACTACGGGGATGCCATGCAACCGTCGATGCGCTCTTCCATGCGGTACATTTACCAGGACAATGAGAAGTACTCCAGCTGGTACGATCTCCTCTGCGTGAACAGCGACACCTCCTTTTAGAAACCGTTTTTTTTCTTTTCCGCATTTTCTTTTTTCTTTTTTTGCTGTTTGTTCTTCTTTTTTTCTGTGTGTGCGTTGTGGTGACGGTGGCGGGTGCTGATGGATGGATGGATGGGGCGGGGGCGGGGGCGGGGGCGGAGGTGGAGGCGGTGGGACAATATAAAGCGAGGGCGCATTTACAACCACGCAGACAAACAAAATCAAACAAAATAAAGTTTTTCCAGTTTGCGCCATTTGGGAATCTTGTGAATTTGCCGCGGGGGCTGCCGCTGCTGCAGTGATCCCTTCTTTTTGTTGTTTTTGTTTTTGTTGTTGTGGGTCTTTCTCTCCGCTGCCAATCCGTAAACTTTTGTCTAATTCCTCTCGTTGATTTCACGGTCCGGTTTTGTTTTCCTTCCCCCATTTTCCTCCACTTTTTGATTTATTGTTTTTTTTTTGCTTCCGCACGTCGGCAACAGAAGTGTTCAAATAATTCCCCATCGCCCCGCTTCATTTTATCCCCCCGTCTCTTCTTTTTTGTTTGTTTGTTCCTCTCACACCTTTTCCCCGTCGTGATATCTCTAAAAAAGGGGTGGCGGGAGGTTCACTACACAAGCAGGAAACGACGGAAGTGAATATGCGGTACAGCTTTGAGCAGGTAGCGAAGAAAGAGACGGGAGGGCTCTGCCGCGCGGTTGCTGCCGCCAACGCCACACGCAGTGAGTTAATGAAGGCGTACATGCAACTTGCCGAGGCGGAGATACGCGCATTGCCAAAGCAGCGAAGGCTCCTTGAGCGACTGTTGGTGCAGTCCGAGGAGGAACGTCGTGCGGCGGCAAATGAACGGCGGCAATTGGCGTTACGTCGCCGTGACGAGTTGAAGCGAAAACTGCGGCAGTTTAAAGAAGAGGGGGATGGCGATGGTGCAAGCAAGACTTCATCACATGATGGATATGCAAGACAATGGGCCGCGGTGTATGGTGGACTTGCGTTGCGACGGGAACAACTTGCCCATGTCTTGTCGTGCCCCTCCACGGCGGTCCATGTCACAACATTTGCGGATGCGGTAGACTCATTGGCTCCTTTTATATCCGCCGTACATCGTGCCATCACCTTTTTGGAAGATAAAAAAGACACTGAAACCTATACGGTTCCCACCCAGCTTCTGTATACTCAGCTGGAGCAGGTTACCAAAATGCAGCTACAGGTTACCTCCTTGTTGAACCGTGAGCGTCATACGCAGTCTCTCTTACGGGAAAACACTGCGGAATTTTTTAAAGGCCAGGAAAGGATTTTGGCATGGTGTGTAGAGCAGCAGGAGGCTTTGCATGATTTGAAGGGTCTGAAGGATCTTCGAGAATTTTGTGCCTCATTTATGTCAAATGTGGCGGTGATGGATACGAACTTTCTTGTCCTTCTGGAGCGGAGCGAGCAACTTGCATCGAACAGGGCTGTGCGTGAGGCACTGGTGGCGGTGAATCGCACGTGGATGGAACTCGCCATTGCCGTCTACCACACGATACGTCAGGTCATTAGGAGGGAGCACGCCAATTCCGGCGTAGAGGCAGCCTGCAAATGGTGGGTAGATACGTTTGAGCAACGCTTGAGGCGTATTCTTGTTGAGGCACGCGATATCGCAGATCACATGGAGATGCAATCCGAACCGCTGATGCAGACCATTCATAGGCGGAGCATTGAAGTTTTGAGGGATTTGGCTTTGCCCCACACAATTTCACAGCACATATCCGAATTCACAGAGCGTGAGGATTCCGTTGCGCCGCACGAGGAGGCATTGCGTGATGCGCTGGTTATGCGGCTTTCACTTCTCACCCAGACATTTGTGGGGGATGTGAAGTACGATGGGCAACGCGAATACGCGGATCGTTTACGTGAAGTTTCCGATTATTTAGATGCCCAGGCGACGGGCGCTGTTTACACACAACTGCTGGAACGTGTGAAGAAGTTGCGATCGATGGTAGAGGAGCAGTTACGTTTGCTGCCCGCCGGGAAAATTGTCACAGCGGCCGATGCCTAAACACTGCAAGGAAGGAGGAAGGAATTTTTTGAGGAACAGTGACGAAGAGAAAGTTATTTATGCACATTACAACTCCTCTTTCCCCTTTCCTTAAAGACTTCCCCTACACATCCGTACGCGTGTACGCATGCATTCATGAAAACAAACAAACAAAAACTAAAAAAAAAAAAGAAAAAAAAACAGAGGAAACGGGAAGGGGGAACTGATATATTTATAGTTTTTATTTATTGGCACCGTTTTATATTCTAAACTGTATTTTTATTTTTATTTCCTTGGCCTGAGAGTGAGAGGGAGAGAGGGAAGGCGGAGGAGAAATAAAGGGTGCGACAGGAGTGGAGTGGTATGCGTATGAGATGCGTGTGTGTTTCTGAGGAGGGGGGGGGGAGTAGCGGGCAGGCGACTGCGTATGGCTTATCCCCTTCCTCTAACCCTTTTTTTTTTCTTTTCTTTTTCCCCTGTTGTCTGTGTATGTTTTTGCACCGCATGAGTCTTTGCTTCCCTCCCTTAACCACTGTTCATGCGAGCTCCTCCGCGCTGTGAGGGGGGC